TATGACTCGTAGAGACTTACTGCAAGCAGGTCTGTCAGTAGCAGAGGGTGACAAAGTGCGACGTCAAAATTATTTTAGGGAATACTCTGTTGTGTGAAGTTAAAGATGCTAGAGGTGACGATGTTCACAAAAAAGAACCAAGAGAAGGCACTCCACAGCATCGTGTGTGTGAAGATCACCGAGAAATATCGTGAGATGAGTTGTCTGTCCACACAGACCGGATGAACAGAAACACGCTTGGTAAAACAGGGAAGAAGTGGACATCTGTACCACCTCAGACACGATATAGGATTCAACAGATTTAGAAAGGAAGTCGAAAGCGTCATGGAAAGGGATGATAACAGCATCAAAACATTGCACGTCTCTCGAAGGCAATGAGGAGAGAAGGCTTATCTGTGTGTGCCAATCATGATACATGTATCAGACAGCAGAGGCCGAGTCACCAGGATCTCTCTGAAAAACTACCCGACGACCTTGTCTTTGGACAGTGGATGAGAGTTGAAGTAAATGAAAAAGGACGAGGAAGGAAGGTCATGAGGATAGTCGAGTCTGAGCTGGAGAGGTCTAAGGCAATAACATACATTCAGTCGCAGTTAGAGGAATTTCGTGATCATGTGTCTATAGTGAAGAGACAGTATGATGAAGTTAGACGATTGAAAGAATACCTTCCAACTCACAACATCATGCATCAAATGGACTTGCAGAAGATTATAATGTTGAAGCTGGGTGAAAACGAAATGGGGTTGGTTTTGCAGGCATTTCAATCCTGCACAGATATCCCTGAGAATGGAAATTATGGCCAATCTATTTCTAAAATAGCAAATATTTTTCTTTATACCAGCATTGACTAGATCACTTCTGTTGTTATAACGATCAGTGGAAACACTATTTATGTAACGATCTTATTCACTGGGTAACAATTTTGAAAACATGACCATTGTTGCAGGGATGTGTATATTATGACCATATATATATATATCGTCTTTTTTGCTTTAATCGCTGCCACTGTAAAACCTTTGCGGTGATTTGTATTGATTTGTAAACGTAGTTAATTTTAGAATACAATTGCTAATTATAGGCGTTGCTTTGTAGTTTGATGGCTTTACACCGAAGTATTTTACTCTCTGAGGTTTCAACTTTGGAATTCACTATTAACAGCTGGAAGTCAGGTCATGATTAGATTTCAAAATTCTGGCATACCACCTGGCGGATTAGTGTATCGGTGTTTGCCTTTTATTGAGTTTTATTTATAAGGTAAAATTTCACATGACTGTCCAGCCGAGTGTCATTATAAATTACAATGACATTTGCTACTACCTAATGATGTTGCTGGACAAAATGAATATTTGTATTACCTTGATTGCCCAAATAGAGTTAATGACAATGAGCGAAGTGGGGTTAGCGAGCGGGCATGACACCAATAACACCATTCACGTCCACCACGAATTGAACTCGTGGTTAACAGGAGACAGCCTAGCTACTTGTTCCACGTACGGGACAAACACACGACAGACAGACGGCGGATCGAGGCTAGCGCGATCACCAGCAGCACACAGTAAAAACGTGAGCCAAAGTCAGTGCCATTAGTTACTTTTTGTTGTAATTGACCAGCTATATAACGGCGGGCTACAAATCCTCGAGTCTGGACTAATCCAGTGATTGACATCATGAGCATCGATGTACGCAACTGGGATACGATGACATATATCTAACAAGTGAGTCTCACCAGGATATCTAGTAGGTCGCGTCGTATGAAAAGAATATTTTCTTGAAGACTAATTCAAACCCGCGTCTTCACCCTTTCCTTCTGAACCCCGAGAAGTTGTGGTGTTACAAGTAGTGGACATTTGTTTGTACCGTGACCCGGATTGAGGACCAGAAAGGACGTCAAGTGAATAGTGAACTCCATATGAAATACTTCCATGTTCAAGTTACCTTGGCATTTTAACTTCTACACCGTGATGACCCGGGGGTAATTTGGTCTTCAGCAACCAATGCTGATCTTAACCAAGTTAAACATGTTATCGTAACCAAGTTGCGTAGGCTGATGCTCATGGTGTCCTAGCGAACGGTTTTGGACTAGACTAGAACGGTTTTGGACTGTGGCGTTTATCAACACGCAAACAATTTACTCTTCTTACTTACATTAACCTCCAGTGTGTCACTGGGACATATGTTAACCTCCAGTGTGTCACTGGGACATATATTAACCTCCTTGGACATATATTAACCTGCTACTGGGACATATATTACCTCCTGGGTGCTACTGGGACATATATTACCACCTGGGTGCTACTGGGACATATATTACCTCCTGGGTGCTACTGGGACATATGGTAACTTCCAGTGTGTTACTGGGACATATTTTAGCCTCCTGGGTGCTACTGGTACATATATTAACCGCCATTGTGTTACTGGGACATAAAGTAACCTCCAGTGTGTCACTGGGACATATATTACCCTCCTGGGTGCTACTGAACATATAGTAACATCCTGTTCACACATAACTCACCATGCACTTAAAAAACCCAGTGTTTTGATTCTGATGCAAATTACAGCTGACCATTAGGTACATCGTATATATTCATTTTTACATTTTACAAAACTACAATTCGTTTTTCGTGTATGATTTGAATTACAAATACCGGATATTTACTCGGAAAATTCAGTTACAAATAGGGCATATTAGTGATCGATTCGACAGTGAATGTTCTGAATTGTCGCTAATAAGCCTATATTAATAACAATATTTCAGAGAATGTTCGGAAACGGACGCCATGTGAAATATCCCACACATTGTATAGTTTGGACAACATCGCAGATGCCTGCTATCTAACACCTGCTCCATCATATTTATGTTTTAGGAAATAAATACAGTTGAGTTGATCATGCATTTACAACAAAACAGACAAACTTATGATTTTGAAACTCGACAACAATCGTCAAAAATTTAGCTCCAAGCATCGCCACTGTTGACACAAATGATACACACCGACTAATATATGTATTGTGCCGTATTCTGATTTGTATTTTGCAGAATATGTATTTTTATTTTGAAATTTTTACTTTGGATATTTCATTGATCGTATTTACATATAAAAATGTAAACTGAATAACAATTAAATATTATCTTTGAACTAAAATAAATAATTCAACGATATGGGCTATTTGGTTTCATATAGAGTGCATATGTGCATATACAGTTGAAGAAAACGTTTTCAATGTTTTGATCATTTTATAATAGAATAGTGGTTTCAAGTGCATATAGTCCGGAACTAATAGCTCCTATCGTTTCAGGTCATTTGATCAAGTGTAACCATATATTGAAAAATTAACTGTTAAATTAGATTTAAGAATATGACGCATGCAAATATGACGACTGACATGATCTAATTCCACAATGATATCTGTCTATCTCCACTCTATCTCGCATTCTATCAGTTGAAGGCATTTTCATCATGAAAGTAATAAAACAGTTAGTAAGTGGCACGAAGATTTGTAATTCGTTACATAAAATAATAAGACTAGTACTGCATTAAGTCAAATTACTTCTTTACAGTGAGGTGAATTTTACTATTTAAAGATTAATTTACCTGTGAGATAGGCCCAGCCATTTGGCTCGACATCCAGAGGGTTAACACAGACTCCTAGGTGGGAATTGGTCCGAATACCGTACTCCACTGTTTAACGAAGATCCACACCCATAACCCCTACACTCTCATTTCACCTCCACCCCAGTTCACCTACACTTATTCAATGCATGTTTTCTCAGTACCCCTACTCTTTGCTTTGGTTCTACCCTATTCACGTGTGGACTCACTCATTTCTGTAGAAACTCGGGGCTTGATAGACACAATGAGCATAAACTTTGATTTCTGAGTAACACAATTGATTTTGTGAAGGTGTTATGCGTTGTCTATTTAAACAATCAATGACTGACAGCTTCTAGCTTACTTCCTCACATTAGAATGTAGTCTATTTAAGATGTATATTGCATTTCAAAGCACATTTGTAAGAAACACACTAACAAAAAGGCTCTTTTAGATGCTGTTGGACATTTGGTGAAACTTGGAATTTAGGCATTTTAATGTTATATGTTTTTAGCATTTGTATTGCTAAACTATTGTTTTCATTTTTTATATGACTTTTATTTTTTTTATTTTTTGCAACTTTTCATTCTTAAATTATTACATTATCATTTGATGTTCAAATCCATTTTAATATTTATTTACATGTTTATATATATTGTTATAAGAAAAATATATACAATGTAAATGACAAAAAATGATTTTAACAGATGCGATTTATTTATGAAATTCTTTGGTCCAGCAATACACTTGTAAGGTAAAATATATTGTTTGTTTTACACACAGATTGAAAGTGTCCATTTTACAAGAGAGGATGTACATCATGTACAGCGTTTATTTAGGACACTCCATTACCCCAACACTTTTTTACCCCCAAAAGAGTAGGTGAATGTAGAGTGTAGGGGTAATGGTGGGCCACCTTAACGAACTATGCAAGATAGGGAAGACAGCCTTTTATACTTACATATTGTGTTCACATTGCCTACATAATGGTCTTGTTGTTTGAGTGACAACAAACAAGTAAACAAACTAATTATTACCAGACAGTGAAATAATACAAACTAATTATTACCAGACAGTGAAATACTATCCAGAAAGACGATCAAGGGTAATACAATTTCTTATGAAAGGACGGGAAACGATAACTTATCATCTGTCTTCTGCTTGTCCTCTGGGAATTATTCGCCCTCGGAATCCCCGGAAATGATAGTCTAAATTGAAATAAGATAGTACAGCTCCAAGTACATATAATATAAATATAATCTGATATAAGCGATGAATGATCGCTTCAGTTAACAAAAGAATATTAACATTTGCATTTAGTTAAGCTATGATGTGAATCAATAATTGGCGTTTTCCAATCACGTGTTTATCATATTGTTATTGTACTGACTACAACCCCGTTCTTCGCTCTCCTTCTCAGCCGGAACGTGGACTCACTGACGCATTTGTCAGATCCCATCTAGCCGTTTCAAATGGATCAACATGACTGTAAGTAGCATTTGTTTTATCCTGACTGACATGTCCATGAGTTTAGGTAACATTTTCATAAGCATGATTGTCCTATAACTATTTCCCCTTAATTCTGTGATAAGACAAACTTATCACTAGTGTATGTGTTTGCTTAGTGTTTAGAAGATGCTGTACAGTTACTTGGCTGGGCTCCGTCCCTTATTAACATAAATGAAATGCACCATCTTTGTTCTTGTACATAAACCTCGCTCAGTCATTTGTTTTGTCTCCCTAAAGAACACAGTGGTATTACCAAGTGACATCGCATCAATAAAATAACCTTGATGATTTATTCTTTTGATTTAAACATATTTTATTCACAAATGTGAAAGGGATTGGGGACAAGTTATCCAACTTAAAATACCCGCTCCCTAATATTTACATACATACAATTTCAATTATATACATCTTAGGAAAGAATACAGAGAAGAGATAGGAAAGTAAAAGAGAGAAGAGAGGAAGGGACACGACTTATGTGATCACTCAAAACGTTTTGATTGATGAATAAAAGTTTGCACACATTTGAAAATGCATTCATTCTGTTGAATAACGTTGATGCAAGGCATTAAATGTTTTCCGCCCAAGAATTTCATAAGTGGACGCAGAACATGTAACCATATGTTGTTGTTATAGTATTAAACAACCATATGACATGGCATAACATATACAGTGAACACAAAATCAGTATCAGAAAATGTATTGTTGATAAATGAAGTCGGTAGGAATATTGAAGGTGGTAGGAAAATACGAAACTAAATCTTGGCATCCGTGTCTTCAGAATGGTTGTAATTAGTGATATCATTTTAAATGCGTTCGTGTACGTGCCACTACGAGTAACAGTGATGGAATTATTATTTTAAGACGATGAGTGAGTGAGTGAGTGAGTGCACTTAGCAATATTCCAGCTGTATGGTATTTACGGTCTGTAAATAATCGAGTCTGGATCAGACATTCAGGGATCAACAGCATGAGCATCGATCTACGCAATTTGGATACGATGACATGTACATCCTTTAAGACGATGAAGTTTCGTTCCTTATATTCCATTATGCTGCATCAGTGGTCATGGAAATTACACAACAAGATGTCCAGCAAAAATTAAAAAGTAAGTCTGCGCAAACAATATTTATTCAATCTCAACATTTCCCTATCCCAGCCGGGTAGATTTTCACGTCGAAAATGGTGAAAGCTTGACCTTCATTCTTCGCACACTGCCTATATAACACGCGATGTAGTGCAAAAGAAGTTTACATTAGAGTTATTTGGATGAGGAAGCTAATTAGAGACTCCCTAAACAGCCTCAACTTACGGATTGAATAATATAAGACCTACAGCATTGCAAGGACAATATTAACTGTAACAATAACCCGTGTGAGATGAAGCAGAATGGCGCTACCCATCAGTGAAATACAAACCAACCAGATACTTCCCAGCCTTCAGGTCGGGTAAGAGTAACAGGCACCGATCACAGGCCCTCATGTCTTTGCGAGGATAAAAGATTTTAACAAATATAACAAATGTGAAATGATCTCCAACCCCATATGCCTTTCTTTAAATTTTTTTAAAATCTTTACTACTAGCAAAGACACGAGGAAATTGATATCATTATTCTGCAGACGTTCTTCCCACCTGTGTCATGATAAAACATTGAAGGCAACACTGCTTTGGAAACGGTTATCTTTTAAAGAGCATAATTACACATGGATGCAAACGTGAAAGGTCTGTTATCATAGAACATTCTGAATGAGGGTAACCGATAGTTATATATCAGCGAGACCTGAGTGTATGGTGACACGTTGAAGAAATAGTTGAAGGCAAGTTTAAAGAATTATTTTCTCAAACAAACTCTATTCTATTCTATTGTATAATTGGAGTGTGTACATCTTACGAGTTTATTAATATTTATCCCTTGTAAATAATAGAAATCTGAAAAGCCTCGTCATCGGGCACTGGGTACAGTCACTGCCTTGTCCTGTTAACAGTTTTTATTCATTTATGGTAACAAATAATAAGATAATGTTTGAGTTTTATTTATCCCTTTTTACCTTCAGGATTAAATTTTCAGCTCTGGTTTATGTATATCAACAAATAGACAATAAAATGCCCTTTTGACAGTATATCGTTTATGGTGATATAGAAAGAAAGCCAAGCAGATCAGAGCAAGTATAACGAATACCACTTTGACATTCAGGCAGACAAGGAGGCGATAGACTTAACTGCTAAAGCAAAACTTCCAATTGTTAAGAAGACTCTGGGTCCTACACTTAGTGTTGCCTCACCGTCTGCATTCCGGCCAAGTAGCTTGACATGACCTTGGGAATGTCGCTGCTGCTCCAGAAAGTTGGCCAAGCTCTTCACTTCCTTTATATTTCTGACTGTCGCAAGTTTATGAGACAGATAACAGAAATGTGAAGCAATTGATTTTACCTCCATGGATGCATAGCTGTGTTAATACTTTAAGTATGATAAAAATAAACCTAGGAGTTTAACTTTTATAGTGTGCCAGAAACTGATAATCCCGACATCCAAATCTAGGTGGTTTCTTGGTTGGTCAGCGCCATAACCATTGTGATGGCTTTAGTAGGTCGATGAATATAACATGGCTGTAGTTTCCAAATCCTTTGCTCAGTTCCTAACAAGTCTATACTCAATTCAAAACAATTCAACTTCAAAGTAACATGTCATGCACTTCTTCAACAAAAAAATGACAAAACCTTCAATACAGTTGACTTGACTTTTATTCTTCATCAGTCCTTGAATGATTGACATTAATATATATGATGATGCAGGTCCTCAAATCCTTAAAGAACCACTAAACTTTGTTTTTTTGTTACTCTTTTAACCATTACATATGAAAGATTTGTGGTTAGTCTTATGCGGAACACCAAATTTATTCTTTAAAAACTTGTGGTTAATTAATACCGAGCGATTAAAAGTGGCCAAAAAGTCGCCTGCTTCCCTCTCGCCCGCCAACGAAACCACAGACAGGTTACGTAACTCTGTCGCCAGAGCACTGCAGTGACGTCATATGAGGAACGATTTTCAGTTAGTTGTATAGAAAATGTGTAGCACGCTCATCATTTTGATGATTTCTCGACATCAACGACGACATGCCGAATCGTTGCTTTGTCGTCAATTGCTCCTAGGGGTCGGGCGATGGTGTCCCCATGCACAGATTTCCACAGGACCCCGCAGTTCGTGCTAAATGGGTTATGTTTGTGAGTGCGAAGCGAGCGTTATGGAAGCCTGAAACGATATCTTACTTGTGTTCAGATCGCTTCACGGAAGTTAAAGAATCAAAACTACTTACTAGTTGTAGTAAAATATGCATATGATTGATGACCATAAAGATTTTCTATGACACAACTTGTAACATAACGATTTCTTCCTCGGAAGTGAGGTTGTGGTCGAAGTAACAATAATATTGTAAGTAGTATTATATTGACACCCACCTCGCTGCCACGAGAGAAATTGTTATGATATACGCTATGTCATGCAAAATCCTATTGGCCATCAATAAAATACATATTTTACTACCAGTAGAAAGTAGTTTTGATTTTGTAACTCGGTGAAAACAAACCTAAATACCATTTATCCTCAGACTGGCGGATGTTCCCGACAGGGCGCCGCCATTTTAAAAATAAAAATCTGTTAGAATTAATGAGATTATAGTTTGTTTTCATCAAGTTAGAAAATCAAGACTACTTTCTACTCGTAGTTAAATATGTATTGGAATCATAACCAAACGGATTTTGCATGACACAACTTATAACATAACGATTTCTTCCACGGAAGCGAGGTGGGGGTCGAAGTCACAATACTGCGCGATAAATTTCTTGCTACATTCACATGGTTAATATCCACTCACCAGTATGTAGATACTAGTCAATGTGCGTCTTTATATTTGGTCTTATAATCCTAATTAGTTTATTATTACACTTGTATGCATTTTGAAACTAAATAAAAAGCAGACGATCTGCTGATACTTATAGTGAATTTATAACAGAACTGTAATATCTAGACATTTTATAGTTTGCCAATGTGAATCATAATTCGCACACACACCCTAGTGCATGTTGTCTGTCTCATTACACTTCACGGCGAAAACAATGATTCTGTTGAATGCTACGACAAATGAATAAAAACAAAATGCAAATATTAAAATTAAAACAGATTAAAGTTATAGGAACAATATCAGGCCATTACCTTGTTCGAGGAATGTATCCATCAATATCCACAAAACTGTTCCAAATGATGTGTCTTTTAACAGTTTAATATACGAAAAAGTGATAAATCTTTTCAGGTATTGGTGTATTGTCTCATTGGTCACCCAAGATAGCACACCTGGCAACTAATTGCATAATGTCCACCTTTCTTTAAAAACAGTAATTTAGTTAGCCAATAATGGGCAATCAATCAATGTATTGCAGGTTAATCCTTTGAAAGAAGGACGTTGTTTTTACGCAGACACCGACACGACAGAGTGTATTCAGTATAGATTATTAAATCTACATACATAAACACTACCTTTTGACAATTCCGCTGTGTAAGATAAAAGTAATTAATCAATCAGCGTGTTATCGGTTAATCCTTTGATCGATGTTTATAATGTTGAATATTTACTCCAGACACAAGAAATGCCAAATGGGAACCTTTGTCGAGGTAATCTAAGTGTGTTACCACTAATTATACCTGTTATAAATTCATTAACTGACCATCAAGTGAATGATGACAAATAACATGTGTAGGTTTATACCACCTAGCACGGGTTACAACAAGGGAGTATTAATTGCTGTATTGCATGTGAAAACGTATGGGCCGACACTGTTTTGAGAATACAAACAGATTTTTACATGACATGATTAAATATCGAGGTAAAAAATCACAGAAATGGGATCAATTTGGATCAGTCATTATACAAATAGGGCCTAACGACACCTATCGATTTTGACAGAATCGTCTATGAAAACAAGTTGTAACTCGGAAACTAGGCAAAACAGGAGACAAAATTAAATGACAGTAGATTGTGAGAACATATAGCTTTCATTTTCCACAACAATTGTCACGATTTCAGGTTTGTACAAGCCTGTAAACAAGATAATTTAACCCCTAAAATGTAGATGAATTCTGCATCGGCCCTCAAAGCTATTCCTCATATGACGTCACAGAGGCGCGCCGCTCTGATTGGTTGAAATTTCGTTCGCGGGTGAGAATTGTGCACTGTTGTCAAAAAGGTCGATTTAAGTCAATTAAAGGTCGAAATGAGTAGTTTTAATGACGGGGTTTCATTTATAACGATGCCAGTTAGTGATTTATGTATTTGTACCCCCTAGGGTTTATGTGACCTTTAAACATATAGAGCCAACACTCCAAATCCAAATCCACAAATTACACCATTACATGGAATCCCTCTGACCATGTGCTCACATCTCTAGTCATGTGTCAACTCATAGAATTACTTCCCTTGGCCCCTGGCTGGAGCTAACTGTCTCAAAATGTAGACCAATTTAGTTTCGCACAAAAATTAAAGTTTTGACATAAAAATAATTCCAACTCATAATTCTGGCCATAACAATGGCAATGCCACTTTGTTTTATTCCATATCGATCCACATTTCATGTTGTATACTTTAGGCTTATATATAGCATTTCAACAGATGAAGTTAGATATAGATATATGTTTCCGAGGTAAACATATCTGTCAGGGCTCCAGATCATTTTTCAACATCAGGAGTACGTACCCCTTATTTTTTCAATATAGGAGTACTGGAGAAAACTTAAGAGTACATTTAGAGCACTGAATGGAATTTAATGGAGTATCAGTAATCTTGTGTTTCGTTTCATATATGCACCACAGCATTGCTACTATTGCGTAAACAGGTCAATAAACAATAATCAATACTTTTTCTGATAAATACGTCTGTAAATGACCGTACACCATTGCCGTGGTGCGTATCTGCTACGTTTTCTAAATGATTTCCTACCGTATCGTGCACATGCCGATCTGGAGCCCTGGATAATATCTATTGTGATAAAATTCTGTCTGGTTTTTAAATAACAGCAGCTATTGTAGCTACTTATCTGCATATGTGACCAATGTGAATTCAATAACAATTATATGGAAGTTTTACGATGTAAATGAGGTCATCTCTGTCATGTGAATTTCAAAGTAATTATCAAATAGTGCAGCTGTTGTCAGTAGTGTTGAAACCGTGATATTTACATAGTTAATTGTAGACAGTTGGCAAGAATGCATTGTTAATGTATACATCGCGGGTCTTTAAACTCATTTTCCGATGTTTGAGTGGGACATTACCGAACTTTGCTTTTTATGTCATACTGTCACTTTTTGGTACTACCCGGCATTGAGCTGGAAAATATATCTCCTTCCCGTCTTCTTTCTTCTCCTCCTTGGCAACTGGTGAGACCAGAAGTTGACCTAACTCTGATAAAGTTTAAGAAATCTGTAACTAATTAATTACAATATAAACCAGAATATAATATATTAAAAAATAAATATAATACATACAAATCCTTATTTACAGATGGGTCCAAGGATGGTGGCGCGGTGGCATGTGCCACTGTCATTGGATCCAGAACAATATCTTCTCGACTACCAAATAACAGCTCTATTTTCACAGCAGAAGCTAACGCCATATTAACAGCTCTTAAATATATCAATAAACACCGTAAATATAAACAATACATAATATTTTCCGATTCTCTTTCGTGTCTTCAGGCTATTAAAAATCTTTATTGTAAACATCCACTTTTATTAGAAATCATTGAATTGTATAATGAACTTGCTACTGGCCAATGCGACATCGTCTTTTGTTGGTTACCCAGCCACGTTGGCATTTCTGGGAACACAATGGCCGATCTTGCTGCTAAGGCAGCACTCAACAAATCTGTGACACCACTTCTGATCCCATACTCTGATTACAAAGCTGCTATTAGATCTTATATCCGTGATCTGATGCAAAAGAAGTGGGACACCCAAGTAGGTATCAATAAATTACATGCAATAAAACCAAATATCGGTTACACCTACTTGGGTTGTCAGTCCAGATTTGAAGAGGTCATCATACGACGATGTCGTATTGGCCACACAAGATATACTCATGAGTACCTATTAAAAGTGAGGATCCTCCGTTTTGTATCCCTTGTGATGAAAGAATCACGGTCAAGCATGTCCTGCTTGACTGTGTTGAATATTCCATCACAAGAGATATCTATTTCAAATCCCAAACTATGAAGGATCTTTTTAGTTTTTTTAGTAATATAAGTTCTCATTTAATTATTGCATTTTTAAAAAAAAGTAGACTTGTTAAATGATTTGTAAATAGATACATATTTTATTATTGTTAGTTTAGATTAGTAACTGAGATTGTTAGTGACTGTGCCCTCGGGGGGTTGAAGTAGCGTAAAATTATTGTCCTCCTGAGAGGGTACGTAAGTCCGAAAAACTTTCAAAGTAAAATTTTTACGTACCAAGTTTTCAAACGTAGTATTTTTGTTCTTTTAAATTTCGGCTAAATTATCCTACAATCGCCAGCGGCTGAAGGGATGGTGTAAATCAAGCTAGGGTCCATGCAGGTAGCAAAAGTAATGTAAGTCCCCATGGTTCCTAGTATGGTGATCTACCTTCAGTTGTTGGCGATCTATAGCCTGTGTTTTATATTGTATTGTCTTCTTTTATTGGAATGTTTTAGCTTTGTTCGCTAGTTTCATATTATCCCTGTGATTATCTAGTATTTTTACTGTCCATCGTCGACAGGTTTAATCTTCAAAATATTTTCACTTTTTATTGTATAAATTGTTTTCACTCACTCACTTTTGGTACTACATACTGTCGCATGTAAGACTTCGAGGATATTAATTTAACTGTGTCAGCTTTTTAACTAACATCAAACGTTAACTAATGTAATAGTGGAAGTGTACCATGCATTAACGTGAAAATGCATAGCATGAGCATACAATGATGAATATTATTGCTTGTTTTGAATCCCTTTCCCATTTAATGATCAGTATATAATCCGATTTTGGTTCTAGTAAATTAATTCATGCCCAGGGCCCAAAAGAGAACCAGTTTACATATATTTGCAATAAAATGTGACCCTTATTTCTGCGCTTGATATGGCGGTGGGGGAGCCTAGTGGTTACGGCGTTTGCTTGTCACGCTGAAGACCCGGGTTCGATTCCCCACATGGTGTGAAGCCTATTTCAGGTGTCCCCCGTCGTGATATTGCTGGAATATTGCTAAAAGCGGCATAAAACACAAATTGTGTTTATTTCCTTCTTTCTCTGTTTGTGAATATAATTATTGTTATGGATGTTCAAACGGCCGTATTTACTGAAGCAACAAGCATTGAAAGTACAACTAACCAAACATTCTTCTGCCCAGAATACAAATGTAGCTTCAACAGTATAGTAATCGTTCAGCTTACACACATCCTACAACACAGAGAATATTGTTGTTACAACTGTAAACGTCTATCTACACCGCACCCATTTTACAAGAATAAATGTTATCTATAAATATTTAGATCAATGTCAATTATATTCAGAAATGTCACTTCATGTATTTGGTATGAGACCACGTTACCTAGTCTTGTCGCGGCTGGGTCTTCAGTCGACCTGTATTTTCTGGTGTAAAGACCTTTGACTGACATTGAGTTTGACGAATATGTATAAGGTCTGTGAGCCAAGATGTATCAAACATTACAGTGAGAGGTGATGTGTGGTCCTGTGTGCAGAACCCAGGCCACAAGTCAGTTCAAGTTAAGTAATGATGGTCACGAAGAATCCTTATATTACCATTTATCAGTCCATTCTAAATGAGGATTGAATATTCTGATTGTAGTCATGCGGTCTTCGGCAAATACATAACGTGATGCATAATGAGCAGACAGTTTATTTGACTGCATATCATAAAAGTGTCATGTATCAAAGCGAAAAAGTAGAGGGACAAATACAGATCCCTGCTGCACGCCTGCTGCTAAATGGTTTATTTTGGAGCACTGAAAATTAATTACTGCTCTCTGGATTAAAAGGCATGCATAGCATTTCAATAAACTTCCATTGATGCACACTGTGTCTAATTTTAATTAATAATACCTTGTTTCATTAAATATCATATCAAATGCCTCCAATGCCATGGGTAAAATGTGTGAATCCCATTTCTGGTGTCCCCCGACGTGATATTGCTGATATATTCCTGATATAGCGGCGTAAAACCAAACTCACTCACTCACTCTTACGGACAGAAAATTGTGCCATATAATGTATATTGCAGTTTATGTTCTGTTACAACACAGGTGCAATCCAGTTTGCGAACCTGTTTCTGGTCACACACAAAAAGCCCTCATTGTTGATACTTCCTATTTCACCATCTGCACCATAAACGGTATCACTATTAACCAAGGGAAAGGAAGAGGCGACCAAATACGATCTGAGTAATTATGTAAATGTAAGATGCTGTCACCCGCGTGATATTGCTGGAAAATTGTGTAAAGCAAAACTCACTCACTCTTACTGACAGAAAACTATGTCATATAATGTATACTGCAGTTTATGTTCTGTTGCAACACAAGGGCAATCCAGTTTGCGAACCTGTTTCTGGTCACACACAAAAAAGACTCATTGTTGATACTGCCATCTGCACCATAAACAGTATTACTATTAACCAAGTGAAAGGAAGAAGCGACAATATATGATCTAAAGTAATTATGCAAAGGTAAGATTCTATAACGTTTTACTTTCCTTTCAAACATTCATTCTGTCGACTTGCATGATCACGTTTCCCTTTTCATACCATGGATATGATCTGTTTTTATAGTTATCTGAACGTATGTCAGAGTATGTTAATATAATTTGTGTTTATACCCATGGTGTCAGATGGGGATATTCATATTTGTCAAATCTTTGAAGGGCATTGTGAAGTGGAATGCATAAGATAATTTTATGCAAGCTCACCGATGAAGGAGCAAGCATACACTCCGACACGTCGTGTTATTCACAATAAAGAAGTTAACATCCATAAATCTTGCTTTTCTTATTCATATTGTGATTTGAAAAGAAAATCATTGCAAGTCTTGCTTGTTCAAATACTGGACAGTGGTATTCCAGACATCACCACTATATTTGACTGAACATGAAATCAGTTGATGCATCGGAATGAGACGTGAGAATTTGCCTCACTCTATGTAGGACCTCCAACTTGAAAGCTGCCACCTCGTTTCCAAGATAATATTTATAACCCCTGGTAGAGACCGTAATCATGTTACGATCGACACGATTTCAAATAGATTCAAATAGTTTATGCTTCTTTCTGAATGGTACATTTTACCTATGATGAACATTTAAATTTAAATTTTAACTTGTACCCAGTTTGCCTCAAGACCCAATAATACTAGATGAACTCTTGTAACATATGTTGCTATTCCACCTCATCTTGTCTGTATGGAACATATACATGCAGGTAATACAATATCACAACCATTAGAGAGTGCATCTAGTCTGCATACGTCTTATAATTGGTAGATTACATTACCAACAGCGACTTTTGTTAGTGGCTGTAACCTCAAAGGTGGTCAAGTACTGTAAAGTATTGTTCTCCCGAGGGTACCCTCCCGAGTGGGTATGTAAGTCATAAAACATTCAATCTCGGTCTAGCAAGCTTTTTAATCGTAGTATATTTGTTATTTTAAGTACAATCGCTGAAGGGATGGTGCAAATCCAGCAAGAGTCCATGCAGGTAGCAACAGTAGTCCCAAGGTTCCTAGTATAGTAATATACTAGATCTATAGCCCGTTTTTAAATTGAATTGCTGTTATTTCAACTTTACATGTTAGGTTTACTTTTATCTGTGATATTCTTGTTGTTTTACTGTCAATTGACGACATGTGTTTATTGTACAAATGTATTCCTTATCACGATGTTGTCACGATGTGCCTGAAATATTGCCGATGTGACGTTAAATATTAACACTCTCACTCTTTGGCCCAGGATGTAACGCTTCACCCCAGCAAGTAATACAAGTATCACGAAATAAAAAAAACTCCTCTAAATATACATAAATAATTGTGCAATATAAGGTCATTAAACGTTATTGCGTAAGCATTTGTGGTAGATTATGCAACCTGTAATACAGTGTCATTGAACTAAGTCAACCCCCATTATCAAGTCTGAATAAATCAATCTTACATGCCAACTTGCAGATAGTTTCAGTGACAATTTGGATTGCAAATGAAACTGCATTGATGAACAGATAATAGATTTTATGATATCCCTTAAAAAGTGCTAGTGTACATTATTCACCTGTATCTTTGGATCACGAAGGGAAATACGTTGATCGTGATGGCAGATAACGGTTATCAGTGGTGAATTCCATGAGTACCGATGTACAATATTTAGTTGCAAGCTTGGATTATAAAGTTAAATGATTAGGTGGTGGTCAGAAGGTGAGTAAAAATACATTGTACAGTCATAATGTTTAAGGTGACAATTTCATATGTAAATGTAAATGAAATTATCTCTGTAGACACGTAGTTTAACGTATTGGTATTATGAGATAACCATATAGGGAGTCTTTAATAAGGAGCCCTAAAATGTTTACGTATTGTAATATTAAATTAACGATTTCTTGTGAAACATATTCAATTCATATAACTGTATCCAAATATAGATCTTGTTTTTCACGATTTAGGTTAAGTTCCCATAGTTTAGAAATTGAAAGAGGTCGTTACTATAACATTCCCCGGGAACAAAGAAAATGCAAAAATGTGTAACTTAAACGTAATTGAAAATGAATAACCCTTCCTACTTATCTGTCCAGCCTACATTGAATTAAGACGTAAATATCTGTTCTATGTTTTTCCCAATATACACAAAATTAATTCGTTGTTATCATCCAAAAATGTAGACATTTCCTTGAACACTGTTTTATGCATTTGACAAAAAGGAAATAAGTTTTTGTCATATTAAGTTTGTATATGCTGTACTAGTCTGTCTCACAGTCCCTGAACCACATTATTTTCCCTACTTCCAAGCCCTCTCTGCAGTGCTACAGCCCTAAATAAAGCAAGTCTAGATTTTCCCCAGGTTCTACCTAGGGCTCCTTTTCAATTTAAATGGGCTTTTTTGTTACTATCAAAATTATATATATTCAGAGACTAAGCATTAGTCTAATGCTGTACATGCTTTCAGTGTTATTACATTTCTGCACCGATGTGGTGATTTGATTGGTAAGGACTCTTTATATAGTATTCCCAGAAATTATTGAGAAAGTTGTTTCGGTAAATATCTAATACATGTATATAAACTATAGACGTTTTACTTCAATTAATATGTTGAGATATGATTCTGTGACAGTCTAAGTGTCTTTTCAGTACTTTCTGTGACCTCCTTGGGTTCATGGCCGGGAAGGCTAAAATCGTGACGCTTCTCGGTTCAATACAATGTTATGGCTGAATGAACACGGCGCGCCTCACTCGCAGGCTCTGACAAATTACAAAGACAACGGTTAACGCGGATGCTATTTAATTTGGGCACACATAAATAAATGCATTTACACATTTCCACGTCTATTCTTCATTATACTTTTTTTTAATTCGACATTAAATTATCATTTTCCATAGTAAAACAATCTACTTCGAGTTTACGTCAATTTGAGAAGTTCAGACACGTGGTCAGTGTAGGCGATGTCCCCGATTAAGTTGTTCACAAGATCGTCCTTCAGGGTTTGGAGTATGGAGTCTAACGACTTCGTAGACGTTTGGGTGTTTCTTCAATGTCCCCTTGTTGATCTTGTGGTAATGTTGGCGCGATGTATTAATTTGGCCTTGAAAGCATCCACTTCGAAGATGAAGTTTGGATCCGCATGATTGTGGTTGTGCTCTGCTGTCTGAAGTCGGTCTCCACTTGACTCGATACATGCAGAACACCAAGCCTCTGTGCACTTCCAATAACTAATGCCTCCCTTCTGTCATCACGAATATGTGTATGAAGGTTCGGTGTCAGTTTGCAACTATCTACTCCCCACATTTATTAAGCTTCCCGATAATTATTGTGCTCTGATGTTTTTTTTCTAATCAAATACATCTGAAATACAAACGCCACTTAAATAAAGTTCTAAATAAGCGAAGAAGATAAATACTCTATTATAATAATTTCTTGAAAATAAATCTATCTACTCCAGACATGGATTATGCCACCGTATCTTTAACTTTGGCGGTACTCCCCTACTCCCTTGGAAATTAGCTCTCCCGGGAAATCCAAAATATAAATGTTATCCTTCCCGGGACATCTGAAAAATATATTTTAGCCTTCCCGGCACGACATCCCTCCTTGACCTGCAATACACGACTGAATACGCCTAGGTACACTACCGATCAAAGTTTGTAGGAAATCGTGTGACAGCGTATCCCAATATTCGACCACTTCTTTCTTCATATCGTCACTATTTGGAAGTCCTTTTGGTTTATTCGGTCCTTCATTAGTCCACACACATTCTAAATCGGGTTAAGATCTGGGCTGTCTAAAACATGAACATTTTGTCCGACAACCACTGTTTTGTGTAGCCAGCAGTGTGTTTTGGGTCGTGATCATGCTGGAAAATCCAATTATCTTCTTAAAAGGTTCGGGCCGTTGGAAGGAGGTGATCACTTTAGATGTCAACATATCGTTCCTTCGTCATATTTCCAGTGAAAATACACAACGGCGTCACTCCACGTGATGATATCCTGCCCCACATGTGAAATTATGGGCTATGTTTTGATTTTCGTCAGCCGTACACCAGTTTAAACGTCTTTCATTTTGTGCATCTTTCATCAATGGTGAGGGAATTCCGCGCTTTTTCACCCAGTTCAGTCTTTGTAATTCTTGTCTGAGGGTTTCATTACATACTTGAGGACTTCCTCTATTAATCATCTCATTTCTGATATTCTCAACGCTTTTCAATTTTCCACTACTCACAATCTGACCAAGTCGACGGCGATCCGTAGTACTGAACTTCCTTGGCCTCCCTGTCCCTGTCTTGTGCTCAATCCCAACTCCTGACTGAATATTCTTCAAAGTTCTGTATACTGTAGACCTAGGGAATGCCATGTCTACCAGCTTACTATTTTGCATTAGTCACACCCCTTTCAAAATCATCTGGAACCAGCTTTCTTTCTTTTCTAGAATGTCAACAAAGGAAGCTGTCTGCTACACCAGGGGAGATAACTCTTGATGTAGTAAGGTTCATTCTTAAGCCTACACGAGTTGCCTCCCATATTGAGTACCTTACCACATAATGTAACACTGACTGACTGAGTTGGCTTTTACGCCGCTTTTAGCAATATTCCAGCAACATCACGGCGGGGTACACCAGAAATGGGCTTCACACATTGTACCCATGTGGGGATTCGAACCCGGGTCTTCGGTGTGACGAGCCAACGCTTTAACCACTAGGCTACCCCACCGCCCCACCTATTTTAAAATTCTATTATCAGTATTAGGAAACAAAGATTTTCTCAATGATTACTCGGAAAACTGTAAGGTCATTACCCGAAGCAGCCCAAGGGTCGTGTCTGCGATGCTGCAAAGCAATTCTGTCATTTTAATGTTTCATCGTTATTCCTAATGGCAATGAAGTATCACCACTGCATATTCTTATAACATACATATAAACATGAATCAACCCATTATCAGACAATAACTACAATATACGACATTTTTATGAATATAGTATTCATATGTTCTAGAATCTATATATCATGAAAGAAAATGTATCTGACAAAACGCGAATTTGTCGAAAAAGGCAATTTTAACAATGGATGACTGAAAATCGGTGACGAAACCAGGTGTTCGTGAAAGGGCGTATATCTTGTTCTACCGATAGCACTCGCATAATTAGTATAAGAAAGTGCTTGTTTGTTTCCCCGACACCACACAACGGCACTCCTACCATGCAAACGATAATGGAATTCAGTAATGATTTCAAACTTTCTTATGGAGCTGGGAATTTGTGTGCACTTCATGCTCATAGACAATAATGCTGTACATAAATGCGCGCTCAGCAGTAGCACATACATGTACGCACACCGCACGAGCGCACACACAGACACACATTACTATTGTTATATATACATGCTTGCGTCAGTTGTTGACAATCTATAGCCTGTTTTTATATTGTATCGTCCTCTATAGATAAAGTTTTTTAAATCTAATTACTAGTTTTAAATATATCTATCTGTGAAAGTCTAGTTGGTTTTACTGTCCTGTGTTGGCAGCTATTTTAAAATGATTACCTTGATTTCATTGCTATATGGTATAATATTGCCGATGCGATGTAAAATTTTAACTCACTCACTCACTATACTATTACATGCTTGCGAGTCAACAAAACGTCAACATTAATACTGATACTATCCAACGGCAAGATTGCTCACAAGGACGAAACCAGCAATGGTGAATAATACTCTTACGCCACATACGGCTCTTTCACTGGCCGATCAAGAGTATGAAAGACACATTTTATGACTTTGAGCTTCAGCATTTGTTCGACACATTTTCTTGATAACGTTTCAGTGATCGACTGATGTCTTTCATCTGTGTTAACTGAAGATACAAGTTCATTGTCAAATCTCACCCTTCACTCTCATAATGTTAGTCAATTACACGTCTTGTGATTGAATAAATGAACTTCACTGACGAAGAATAATCAAGTATCTACAGAAAAAGGCAACCCTCGATAATCTCCAAGGCATACGGTCCGATAAATATCTACTGGTACCCTGGATGCATCTACGGCTCCGTTCGATAATTGAATTACCTCCCTTTGCTGACTTTTTATCCAATCAGGTGTCTACGCTGGGAAGTTGAGCGTACTGATCACAAGGCTTCTATCATAATTCACTTCCGTTTCTTCGGTAAACAGTAATGTTAAGAGGTAGGAAGAGTTCTTGCATACGTTGTTTGAATGTTTCAGACCTGTCAATTAGTTTGTTTCATTTCCCCCTAAATCTGAGTCGCACAGCGATCAAACGTTCGCGGCTGCAGCCAGATCTTCACGGGTCGATCTATGTATGAGACTGACTGACTGACTGAGTTTGGCTTTACGCCGCTTTTAGCAATATTCCAGCAACATCACGGCGGGGACACCAGAAATGGGCTTCACACGTTGTACCCATGTATGGATTCGAACCCGGGTCTTCGGCGTGACGAGCCAACGCTTTAACCACTAGACTACCCCACCGCCCCCTATGTATGAGAATTCACGGTGACAGATAAAAACCCCGATGACTCATCGTCTGTATGACAAGATAGGTGACTTCAACTTTCCTATAGACACGTTCCCATCTGTATCGAGCAGTATTCCAGCACATCCAGCCTTCGGCCTTGGTGTTGACATTTAACTGTTACAAGTTTGAGTTACACTCGAGCATGCTCATTTTACCAAGATTTCAAAGAGCGTCATACGAGTCTTGTTCTATTTTGTAACCTATTAAGGTTACAAACTTCAAGGAAAAGTACCACTTTCTTAACGTTTTATGGTAGAGGTGCAGGACATTTCCAAATTTGACGCATCAGTGACAAAGATGACGTCAGATGCTATTCCATCGTTTAATTACAGTGACACGACCATGAATTCATTAACAACATTGGGAATTTGGAAAATATGACACATGGACCTCACTGAATAATGTTCTACATTAAGGTGACCGAGTGTCCATGGCAGACTACTGGAAAGAATTCTCCACACCATCAGCTTCCGTCGTTGAGATGATGTTGGACAGAGGGGGTGAGAAGCTTGCTGCTTTGGAACAGCCGGAGATACTATCTTATCTACCGGACTTCACTGGCAAAAGGGTGATCGACCTTGGAGCAGGCATTGGGTGGGTACCTTCACTACATGTGTCTCCTAATGATAACAAGGCCATCTAAATAGCGCTGAAGTCCACGCTGCACGGGCATGTTCTAAGCGCGTACGTTGAACCAAGCTGCCTGTGTAGCGCTAGAGAGCTAATGGCCACATGACTTATCCCACCGGGTACCTAATTTTCTACTGGATGAACAGAGGCAATTATGAACAAACTCGCTTGTCTAAGGTGACACCACACGCATCACGTGTGCTTTATAAAATAGCATTGTATTATATCTTGTGCATAGATACGTTAAGCAACGTTGGGCGTGGAGAGTCCTTGGATGGGTGGCCCTGTTTGGCAGCTTGACCCCTGAGAGATTCTAGGACTTCCGTCCTGCGCCACAACGAAGCACATGTGATACATGTGGTCTCACCGGGTTGGGATAAGTCATAAGACTATAACCTTCTAGCGCCTGACAGGCAGCTTGGGTTATCTCTTCTTTGATGGACATATTAGAAGTTGAGTTGATGAATAACTATTCTTCAGCTTGGGTTATCCATTGTAGTAATGAACTCTGACTGAAATGGGCTTCACACGTTGTACCCGTGTGGGAAATCGAATACGGGTCTTCGACGTGAAGAGTGAACACTTTAACCACAAGGCTACCCCAGCACCCCATGTCTTGTGCGAATGGTGACCTCGAAAGTTACAGAGCCATGTCACCGAAAGGCTATATGTGCGAATTACTGACTTCCTTTTTGAACAGTTGGTGTGATACCAGGATATTATTCAAGAGACATAGGCAGGATTCAGATGCAAATATTCCATTGCTGATCATGTATTCTCTCTCCATGCAATATGCTTGTGAAAAAAGGTGGATTCTACTGCTTGTACATTGATTTTTGATGTTCCTAAAGCTTCTGATACTGTTGAGTAGAAAGTGAATATCAATGGGAAAAACGTCAATATCATTTCATGAATGTTTCAAAGCTACCAAGCCGTGCGTTTAGTTCAGATACATTGTATAATTATTACTTCATATATTTATTCCTATATGTTTATTTTTAGATCCTATTGTTATGCTTGGTGGAGATACGTATTTCAATATGTCATCAATGATACCTTCACAATTTGCTGTGCTTGTATTCATAGGCGCTATACATCCACATTTGCCAAGTCAGCCTACAGCGTGTTCGCCATCGATTTCATGAATGAATTTATTGAAAAAAATGAAACTATCAACAATCTCTACAAAAACATTGACTTCCAATGTGGAGACGTCACTAAACTTCAAAGAGACAACAGAAGGTGATTTTTGTCAAGCTGAAAGTTATAATAGATAGTACAGGGGAATAAATATGCTCGTCACCATGATGAGTACGAGAATCCAGCGAAAACGAAAGGGGCAGTGTTGGTCCCCTACTTTTGTAAATACCCTTTAACCTTCTTTACATATGGTGTTCGACATCAGTGATGCCAAATTACTGCACAGTGTCAATTCATTTAACATTGGAACATGATATTATTATTCCAATTATTTGTTTTCATAAAAACCTAACTGCATTATGAAATAAATATGAAAATCATATTCGAAAGGATATGATAATGTTTGCATGACATTGTCCATTTACATGCGGTGTAATCATTGGAACATCTGTTTAGTGTTAATGTTTGTTAATGCATAGGCAAGAGAAAGCCACCCTCCAGTCAATGATTATGCTGACTTTGCAGTGCTGACTTTGTGTTCTCCAACTGGCTGTTGATGTACCTGTCGGACACGGAGGTACTGGAGCTGCTGCAGAAGGTGCTGGAGTGGTTAGATGAGGACGGTTATCTATTCATTAGAGAATCCTGCATGGGTCCCTCAGGTTTGTTGGTAATCAGGAACATTCCAGTTATCTCGCCATGCTGACACACACAACTCGGTTAAGACCAAATCAGTGGATGATAGTGATGACATGCTACCAGGTCGTCAGTTGGTTATGTTAAACTTTAATGGACAAATTACAGTAGGGTTTTACACAGGCGATTAAGTTACCAAATTTCCTCCTAAAACACATTAAATAACTACCATTAATGAAATCTATACACCTTGGCCTCCTTTCACAAAACACTAAGCTGATCGTAAGTCACTAAGGTAACCTTTATACAATTATAGACTGGTGATGAGGTCAATACCTGTTTTTATGGACCCGCGAAAAGCAATATTGACCGAGGACGAAGCTTAAGTCCATAAAAACAGGTATTGACCGAATTCACCAGTCTTTAATTGTTTTATTATGTAATTACCGAAAAAGCTTATAAAAACCAAATCATGTCCATTTAGTCAAGAAAAGTAATTATATTTTCACTACAAACGATAGCCAAAATATACATCATAATACCGAAAGTGTAATCGGAAAGATAGGGCCATTGTGTTTACTCTTGTTCAACCGACCTTCACCTCAAAGAAATTCCCTAATATGTACAAAAACGTTGACGTATGACATCACTACCAATGACCGATTTCTTACAAAATGGCGACTTAGCTGACAAGGGCACACATGATTTTGCGAGGACCATTCCCTTGATTCAGGGATCGTTTGTACATAAATATGAAAAGTGAGTAATCAGAATGATTCCGTCTATCTGTTGACTGTTATATTTTTACATCGTTTTCATTGTAAGTAAGCGAAGAAGCCAGAAATGCTGATAATTACCGTTGTCGTTCTGCGTGATTTTGCGTCAGTCATGGCATTACGCTGCACGGAAACTTTGACAATTTCTTATCAATTATCAAATCATTGCATATTATCTGTTTTTAATTTCCTATTTCTTGCTACGATACCCTTTCCATGCATACTCTAAAGGCATTGAGCCAATGCAAGCAATGAATAGACGACTGGATGTCGGAAAATTTCAGAAAATGCTACGCAGTGTAAAATCGGAAGTTTTTCTTTGTTTACATTTCAAACAAGCGCAGTCTTTCGAGCACTGTTTTCGTTTTCACACTCAATATTTTTCGTTTCATTTCATCTAGACAGTTGATATTGGTCTCAAATGCCATTTGCAATTTAATTCTAAAATGTATGGGGTATTCAGTGATTCATTTGTCGCCGCATTTGAAATATAGTGATGTAATATACGTCTCAATACCGGCCTTCGCGAAAGGTGATTTTGTAAACACTATCCAATATGGCGGAAAGCGCACTTCGGCGTTCGTGTTAGTGTATTTTTGAAAACATCCCAACCGATTCTAAGTTCATCGGCAACGTTTCAGAATATTCATTAGTGATTTCATGAAAAACTAATATATGTGATTATTAATATGCTATTTTTGAAATTCGATACTCCGAGTAATTATCCGACTTTCACATTTCAAAACATAAAGCAAATAAATACATTTACGATGAAGCTTATGTTGAAAGGTGTTTTACATCACTTTAGCTTTGTCTGAGATAATAGTGGATGGTACCAGTAAACAGGAAATCTCCCGCAAAATTCGAAACTATGAAGTATATTTGTGTGCGTGATATATTTAGAATTTTATTGGAGTTCAAAGTGAGGGTTGAGGAGGAAGGACATATATGTCCCTGTGGCAGCCAGGGGGTTTACGAATGAAGCGTAACGGGGATGCCGTCAAGCAAAGCAATCTGATTGCTTGAATCAAAGGGAAGTCAAATATTTACGCTACTTCGCCCACAGGCGATCAGTGTCAAAGAATGTATACGTTTGCTCAAAATTCATGTTTTATAAATGAAGTGTCATGACACACATTTCAACATATTTTAACTTAATTCGGCTTATTCAGAGCGTAATTAAAATATCTCGCCCGTGGTCGTGAATATTTATTTTTTCTCGAGCTCATTATTTGGAAGCTGCAAATGAATGAAAATATGTGTATCATTATGTATATCATTTTATCCCCGAACAGGCGACATATACACGTGACACCTGATTTACACATGATGAACAAACAAATTGTACAAACCTTTAAAGTTTGAACGTTTGGTAACTAATCAATTTTGGCATGGTCTAGTTGCATTCATACAATACTGTGCACTTCCGGCAAAGATCGATGTGTTGAACTATCTGTAAGAAAGCTCTGTGCTGACCAGTGTGTTTTTATTATTGCTCAGATAACAGGTGTCCCCATGCCTACTGAAACAACATAATTTCATTGCAGGTGACTATCCAGTTCGATTCAACCCAACTATCTACCGAAATGCAATGAGATACGAAGCATTATTCGCTTCTTCTGCTATATCATGCGATGAAAACAAGTCATATGGATTTGAATGCGTGATGTCTACTTCAGTTGACGCATATGCTAAGGTTAATATATGTCTTCACAGCAGAGCTGCATGTATTGTCATTGCTGTATAGTAGGTATTGGTCGTAGATGGCTCGGTCATCTAATTTATTGTGCAGAGTAGTGTCCCTTGGGTGTACCGGGAACCTACGATCGTGGAGTCAAATCTCTGATTCTCATTGGTGATCTGCGTGAGTTCTGACACAGCAAGATATAACTGTCGCTGGGTAACATACTGGATAAAGCTTTCGCTCGTCACGTGGATGATCCGGGTTCGATTCCCCACATGGGTGCAACATGTGAAGCCCATTTCTGGTGTCCCCCGCCGTCACATTGCTGGAACATTGCCAACAGCGGCGTAAAACCCAATCTCTGTCTGAGTGTATGTATACATAAAATCAAATTAAGCACTGGAAACCAAAGTGATATAGAATTCCTTTTACAACTTGGTAGTCAAATATATATATACAGGTAAAGGAAGTGTACAACCATTATGCCAATCACTTTGGAAGATTCGGGGTAGATGTCCTCGCCATACCTTGGCGGGTCGTATAGAAACAGGGAACATGTCAGGGAGGCCTGGAAACAAATATAACCACCACATGGTCACAATTGTTTTGTTAACAGTTGAAACAATTTCAGGAATCGCTCTCCTTTTCACTCACTGTTTCCTCAAAGCCAGCACGGCTAGCACAAGCTGCCACACATACACATGCATGCACGTCGTCATATGAAATGAAATTCTCTAGAAAATGAATTCTACTTCATCAAATACGTTTCAGTCACATAATAATGAACTCACTAGTCACAAAGAATTTAACCAGAGGAACTGTGATTTTTCAGGTAAAAGATAACAGAAACCAGATAGTATGGTTGTTGCAAAAGGTTGAGCGAAACAACGGCACCAATAAGGCATTCCTAGAAAGCCATGAGTTACAAGAGACCTATCAACACCGTGTGATTGGATACCAGAAGATGTTTGGTTGTACGATGTTTGGTGACGTCCTGGAGACTGGTGAGGTACATGGTAGCACATCAATAGAATTCAGATTATACGAATACAAGATCAATAATAATCTGTGTTGAATATAGGTATTTGTGATAATAATTGCAACACGTATCTGAACAGGACATATTATAACAAAAGCAAATACATTATGAAATGTAATTATCTGTTTTTGAGTAACTGTTCACAAAGAACATGTATACTGCAAGTTCAAAACACATCTTCAAGAAGATTGTTGAAACATTACACAAAAAAACCCCAATACCATTCCATCAGTGCATGAAATCCTTAGTGAACGAAAATATGAATTTGTAAACAAAACATGAACAGATTAAGCATTACAGCTTTATGACAAATAGACACATGATAAATCCAAATAAGTGACAAATAGACACATGATAAATCCAAATAAGTGACAAATAGACACATGATAAATCCAAATAAGTGACAAATAGACACATGATAAATCCAAATAAGTGACAAATAGACACATGATAAATCCAAATAAGTGACAAATAGACACATGATAAATCCAAATAAGTGACAAATAGACACATGATAAATCCAAATAAGTGATAATTATTTTGAAAAGATAATACCCCAACTCACTTAGTGCATGAATTGCTATGCAGACGTACCCTCATGTCTTGTTGGGTTATTAAATGTGTTGCGAATGCTTGTGTTACATGTAATAAATTGAACTGTTCAGGTGGATGTGGGTACGCTTGACCTGAAACCCCACCACACCGTGTTAGAAGTCGGATGTAGTTTTGGTGACAGATCCGTCGACTTAGCGAAGGTATGATTTTAGAGCCTCTGCATATGACTTTCAATTTACAATGATTATCTTCAGATATGTATATATCTACGGTTAACGTGAATAGTTTAAGATTAGAAATATTTCGTCAAGCTTCATTTGCAGGTGGAATCAAATTAACTTTGTCTGAAATAACATTTCAGTGGTAAAAATCTTGTTTTACTGTATCATACAATTACTATATTTGAATATTTGTGTAACGTGACACCTTTTTGCGAACACCTGGTGTCATAGCTTATTAACTAATTTTATTATACAGCTGGAAAAGCACCATTAACTCTGTCTCTGTCACAGGTTACAATCTACTTATGATATATCTACACTGCAAAACATGGCTCATTTAACAGAAATACGGATGCAAGGTTGTTGGAGTTGCCATGTCCATCATACAAAGGCGCCATGCAGAGAAAAACGCAAAGGAAAACGCCATGGGTCCTGATCAAGTGAAGTTTGAGTTTGCTGATTTATTGAAGAGAAACTACCCGAACGAGTCTTTCCATGCGATATACAGTCGGGATTCCATATGCACAATCGCTGACAAGATGACTCTGTTTGGGAACTTCTACGTTAGTATAACAATTGGAAATCTTTCGGTTCAATATACTACTCCAAAGAAGTGTAAGGAACACCGACTACTGGAATTCTGGGCTTTGCAAATGAACTATACTTGGGTGTCCTTTAACTTGAAATATTACAGCCATGTAAATTGATTAATCGATCATCATACCTGTCCACATTCTTCCTTGTGTATTCATTTGCTGGTGGAGTGAGTGAGTTTAGTTTTAAGCCTCACTCAGCAATATTCCATCTATATGGCGGCGGTCTGTAAATAACCGATTGTGGACCAGACAATCCAGTGATCAACAGCATGAGCATCGATCAACGCAACTGGGATACGATGACATGTGTCAACCAAGTCAGCGAGCCTGACCACCCGATCCCGCTAGTCGCCTCTTACGACAAGCATGGGTTACTGAAGATCAATTCTAACCCGGATCTTCACGGGTATTAAATTTTGCTGGTGGAAGACTTACAAAAGTTAAATATGCTTGGCATATGAACTGCCTTGGTTTAATATGTAATCCATTAAAAGTACTTGTGGAAACTAAACAATATAGCTATGTTTTAGAAATGGCTAAAACCAGGCGGAAAGGTCTTGATATCGGACTATTGCAGCAGCACAGAGGGTCACTCAGATATCTTCAGGAAGTATATGAAGCAGAGAGGCTACACCTTGTACAGTCCCGTACAGTATGGGAAGGTATTTTGTACGCTGCGTTATTAAGAGAAACTTCTTAACTTACACACACCATTTTTTTATAAAGTACACAATGATATTTCAATGTAAGTGTTTTTAAAAATACATCTGATAAGTTTAGTTTTCCTCAGGAAAATATATTGTTTTTAGAAATTAGTATGTAAGCGTTTCAAAGGAGTGCATTATCATTCAAATGTAGGATACTGGTATTTTTAAGACATAGCTGCATATCGACTTAACAAGTCACAATAGCAAATACAGACAGTACGTGAGTGAGTGAGTTAAAATTTAAAGTCACATGGGCAGTATTTCAGCCATATCGTGACTATGAAAGTTGTAAATTTATAAATGTATACATGAAATAAAAACAAACGTATATACTTATCTGTCTGCGAAGGACAGTACAATGACTAGTGTGTCATAGATTTATACTTAAAACTAGCATATAACCATAAAACACCATTTCTAATTTTAACGGTACAATATAAAAAGATACTGTAGATTGCCAACAACTGAAGGTAGATCACCATACTAGGGACCATGGGGACGTACAGTAATTTGCTTCCTGCATGGACCCTAGCTGGATTCACACCATCCATTCAGCTGTCAGCATTTTAGTCACACATAACCATACATTAAAAGAACACATATTCTACGATTAAAAAGGTGGTAAGCATAAATTTACTTTAAATGTTTTGGGACTTACGTACCCTCTCAGGAGTACAATACTTTTACGATACTTTAAAACAGACAGTAAGGGTCAAAGCCTTGTTCCAAATCACGATATTAACTCTGCAGATGGCGTATTATGGGAGTTTATGTTTCCTTCTCTTGACACAAATCCAAACACAAGCAATGAACATTAGTGACCTGTTTCTGTAACAGGTCGTTACAGATCTTTAGTAGATTTGAAGATCAAGATCCAAATATAATTTCCAGAAATAGTAAGGTCATTTCACTATCCTTACTATTTCACTTTATCATCCAAAACTGTGTTCCACAGGAGATATCGCTTGTGTGACATCAAACGATATCGCCTAGGAGATATCGTTTTGACAGTAGATTTTGTACAATGCCCTGACAATGCTATGACGTCATGTACTTGATGACGTCACAATGCTATTATATCGCTGCACTGCAAGTCTAATGGCAGCACCATGTTCAGAGATGTACATTTTTCATTGAAAATTAATGAAGAGTGATGTTGGATGATAAATAGAATCTCACCCTCGTGTCTTCTGATATCAAATATATCAACACTCGTTGATAAAAGTAAAAATATCCTCGGCAAGCCTCGGATATTTGTAACTTTATCAACTCGTGTTGATATAATTGATATCAGAAGACACTTGGGTGAGATTCTCTATATCCTTACTGGTATATTTTGAAAACATGGAGCTGTCGTGATGAAGTGTTCGTGTTTTGAAACCATATCCATGGCTGCTAACTATATCTTTCAGCGTTTTGAAGAAGCAGGGTTTGTAGACGTCAGAGTTGAGGACAAAACAAAGGTCTTCACAGAAGCACTAACTACAGAGCTCAATCAAATCCATAAACGGCGTGCTGATTATATTGGGGTAATCTAATCTTCTGTTGACTATAGATGTTTAACTCAGTGTTGATGTGAGTTTATAAATATTACCAAAACAACATTTACTTTTACGAATCGATGTTTGGCATCGCTTGAATAGGCAGCAAATTAGTATTATATGTCCGTTGCAGTCAAACGGAAATGTGTTTTTTCTGTTAACGCCTCACGCAGGAATAATCTAGCCGTATGACTATAGTTTTGTACACACTACATCGTTACGCGATACAGGTATATGTGGATGTGATGACTGCAGCCACACAACGGTGACAATGACCTAAATTCTTATTTTCTTTTGTACCAAAATAGTTCATGCATACTGGGCAGAATCTATCGGAATAATAGCAACAAAGACAAAACACGCATCTCATTTTACACCTATAATGACATTTCATGGAACAATTTGCAGGATGTCCACAAGAAAGACTGTGATGACATTGTCAGTGACTGGAAGGACACACTGCATCTGACTGGAGAAGGGGAACAAAGATGGGGAATCTTCTGTGCCACAAAACCATCACGTCCTTTGACATAAGGGCAACTGTACATTTCTTTTGAATGACATTTAGAAGTGATACACATAAGGTAGATAGTTTTTATGGATGTCAACATCTTTATTATGAGGAACACAACGTTTCGGAGTATATCCTTACTTCTTCATCACCTAACATCCATCTCCGAAACGTTGTGTTCCTCATAATAAAGAAGTTGACATCCATAAATTCTACCCTCATTAACCGTACATTTCAATTACAAAATGTATTCTAATTATTATTGATTTAACATTTCCACTCATCCAAATGTTTGGAAAGGAACCAATATATTCAAGTACTTGTAAAGAACACGTGTCTTTTTCAACTTTGTACACCTGATGAAGGAACAGGAATTAGCTCTGAAACGTCGTATAAAGAATAAAAAGAAGTTGATATCCATACAGCGTGTCATGTGTTCAACTTTGCACACATTTTCGATCCTAATGTCGAAGAGCTTTTGCTTTTTTATGGCTTATTCTTATCGTAATCCAGTTATCAAGAAGATGCACCAAGACAGTTCTAAGATGATTCATCCTATTTGTTTCACAAACGCCATCAGTTTCACAAAGGAAATCTTTAAGACATTTTCAACTGCGCCAGTCACACCTGAAAGTCGGTATTTGAGATTAAAATGAATGCAGGCATGGCAAATAGGATTATTCTGTCTTGTTTGGGTATCGCAGGTTATCTATGCTCCATATATTTGTCGATTCAGAATCAAACTTCCCTGTTGTAAAGTCGGCACAGAAAAGGAACTTAGTGGAAGGGCCCGACTTCAGACTAACAACGTGAGCTTTACGCATTTTGTTCGAAAAATGAAATGCATGTAACACCACTCGATACTTCTATTTGTATTATTGTTAGATGCGTTTGAAAACGTGATGTTATGTCTGTGATATCATACACTGTAAATTGCTGTTTCCACAAGGAAAAAGGGTAGAAAAAGCTGCAGTGTTAGTTTCACGTACAAATATATGAACTAGTTTATCATTATTTCGTTGTATGATTGTGCTAGATGTTATTCAGGCAAGTGAATATTTTAAGCAGTTAAATAGTATAATACAAATTTATACCAGAGTTTCAGACGTAGGTTTATCAGTTGCAGTATATCCGGTATGGTTGATACATGTTATGTGAGGGCTGCTTCATTGTCTTTGTTCTCAATGGTTGGTTTGATGTAATTGCAATTTTATTTTTTTATACGTTGAATGAAGATATGTTTTGAGAGTAGAAATGTTTGACACCGTTTGGTCATATTTACAAATGATCTAGAACGTAATGAAAATGTAAAGGTGTGTTGTTTGGTTTTTACTAACTGTTTTTCTTTAGTATATATTTCGTTTCAGCTTTGAAATCGCTGGATTTGTTATTATTAAATAACTAAAAACCGCCTAGTGCTACTCGTGAGTCGCCCTTCACATCCATCTTAGCATTAGCATTAACAGATATGAATACTTTTGTCAATATGATCTTCCTGTTAAAGACATGGAATTCAACACGAGGTCTAACCTAAGCACGGTCATCCCAGAAGTCCTACGTATCCATCCACCCTGGAAATTCATGGCTAACAACATTAGTTCCACTAGGCACATCAGGAAATAAATGAGAAAACTCATGAATCAAATCTGACATTTGAACTTTCTGCTCAGGGGATAAATGTGATAGTTTCTCATCAAGGTGAGCTAACACATCGGAACTTTGGTGAAACATTATCACTAAGGTGATCAAACTTCACATTGCTAACACCATCATCAATATTGTCAACATGTTCACCATTGTCTTTAGTACAATCAGTAACTGGAGAGAGTGTGGCAATACAATTGACCTGTTTGGTTTCTAACCTGTCGTGGTATTTCTTAAACATGTTTACATGACACAGCATCTTTTGCATACGGCGGCCAGGCGTCAGGACGACATGTCTGTGTCGCTAACCTTTTTTGTCAACAACATATGGACCTTGATATCTAGCTCTCAGTGGTTGACCAGGAGTGGGAAGTAAGACTAACACTTTCTCACCACAAATGATTTTTCTCTCTTTTGACATTCTGTCATAGTTTTGTTTCATTTTTGCTTGTGAAACTTTCAATTTTCAATCATATTCTTCAAAGTTTCATGAAACCTCTCTAAAGCTCCCTGTGACTCCGGATGATAACCACTAGACTTAACTTGCTTAATACCCAACTGATACATAGCTTGTTGAAACACCTTAGACATAAAATTTGAGCCCTGATCAGACAGAACAACATCTGGCAAACCAACTAAGGTGAAAAACGTGATCAAAGCCTTGACAATCACAGGAGCAACAATCTTACGAAGTGAAATTGCTTCAATCTGGAAATCTGGCAGAAGCACACGATAGTGAGAAGATACTGATTACCAGACTTAGTCTTAGGTAGTGGACCAACACAATCAATAATAACTCTATGGAAAGATTTCCTCAAAAGCCGGTATAGGCCTTAAAAGATTGGTAGGAATTTTCTGATTTGGTTTTCCAAAACTTTGGCATGCATGACAGGTCTTGCAAAATTCAGCCACATCTTGTCTCAAACTGGGCCAAAAGAAATGTGCCAAAATGTTCTCAAAAGTTTTGTTTACACCCAGATGACATGCCATGGGACTTTCATGTGCCAATGAAAGTACATACTTTCGAAATAATTTTGGTACTACAATTTGATGATACAATTTCCATTCATCCTCCGTGGGAACGTCAGGCGAATCCTTGAAGTAATAACAAACTGGGACCTTGCTAACCTCCTCAAAAGAAACAGCCTTAAAAGCCAACTTCTTCAATTCAACATCCTTGCCCTGCGCACTAATAAGCTGCTCTCTGGAAAGAATGTGATCACCACCTGACAAACTATCAGACTTATCAAGAAGACCTGAAGCGTTACTACTCTTAGAAGATAAGTCATCAGCCTCTACCTCACAAAAAAGAATGATCCATGAAAGTACCTGACAAATCATAAATGGAATCATTTGGCAAAGAAGTCTTGGAAGAAATGCCTTTTGACATTGAACGAGTCACTGCACAAGAAGGAAAAAAACCCCGGAAATTCATCCTCCAACTTTTCTGTACTAACTGAACTCTCCGAAGAACAGTGACAATGGGATCAGCATCAACTTTGTCCCCCATAAGATCATGAGCTATCAACAAATCGACACCCGGAACTGGGAGAGAGAGTCAAGAACACCAACTTTCATCTTACCAGAAATCAGATCTGAAGTCAAATTCACAAAATGAAGAGCAAACGAATTACCACCAAGACCCTGAAGCAAAACATCTGAGACTCATCAGAAAAAGGCAAAATATCCTTCAAAATCAGAGATTGAACAGCTCCAGTATCCCTCAAGATAATAACGGCCGTGGGGTAGAAGTATCTCCCATAAGTGACACAGAACCCCTTAGAAACAAAGGGCAAATACACCTTCCGAACTACAGAATCTGGGGACTTACTCTCACAAAGAAAACTCTCCTCAGAACCACCTAAGAAAAGCTTAGGTGCGATAGACACAAAAGCAATTTGGGGAACCTACAGCCTGATTTTTAAACTGGAGTTTGTAACATGCAGAAATCAAATGACCTGGCTTCTTACAATATGCACAAACAGGATCAGAACCACTGGAAGTCTTAGGTTTAGACTGAAAAGAATGTAACTGCTTGTCAGAAGAATTTGAACCTGTTCTAACACCACTGTAACCTGCATGTCCTGAAGTCTTTCCCGGGAAAAAGCCCTTTTGGCCAAAAAACTTGATACTACCCGGAGACATGAAAGAAGTCTCGTGAGTGAAACAATAATCATCTGACATCGCTGCCTCATGTAAGTCATCAACTTTATGTTCATCCAATAAGTCTTGAGATAAGAATGAACACTGCTTGAAATCCTCCATCAAAACGAACTGTCTCAAACCATCAAAATCTGTGACTTCCTTAGACCCACACCACCTAGCAAATTCTACAAAAGTCTCATTGTCCCTTTTATAAGCATTTCCGAATTTCTGACGATAAGCTTCCGGCACTAACTCATAAGCTTTTAAAAGTGGCCTTTTGACAAGATCATAGTCTGAACTTTGCTGTATGGACAAGGCCGAATACGCATCCTGAGCTTTACCCTTCAAAACAGTTTGCAGTAGCATAGTCCATGGGTCCCCAGCCCACTTGAGGTTTTCAGCATCTTTTTTTCAAAATGTAGAAAATATTTGTCAACTTCTTTCTCATTAAAATGGGGTGCCAGTCTGGCATGCCTTGCAATGTCAAAAGAGGAAGAATTTGAGGAGAAGGGTTTTTCAAGCATTTTCAGTTCCATTTCTCTGTCAATTTCCAATCATCTTTTATCAGTTTTCAATTTTCTTAATACTATTACTTTTCTGAATTCTATTTCTTTCTCTATTTCCAACTTTTTCAATTCTCTTTCCTCTTTTTCTCTTTGAATTTGTAACTGAATTTCAAGTTTGGGGCGGTGGGATAGCCTAGCGGTTAAAGCGTTGGCTTGTCACGCCGAAGGCCCGGGTTCGATTCCCCACATGGGCACAATGTGTTAAGCCCATTTCTGGTGTCCCCCCGCCGTGATATTGCTGGAATATTGCTAAAAGCGGCGTAAAACTAAAACTCCGTCAGTCAAGTTTGAAATGTGAAGAAATTTGCAATAAATCTGATTTGCGCAATTCACTGACTGTGTCAGGGTCAGGAAACTTAAGAAACTTCCCAAGTTTACATACCATTTTGCTGGTTTCAAAAATTACCTTGTTGCAAAATTGCAGAAATTTGAAATAATTTTCACCATAGGTTTCAAATGTCAAATAAATTCTATCCTGGAAGAGCCCCCAATTTTGTTACGGTTAACAATTTGCCGTGACAAAAGGTTTAAGAGATCCCTTTGAACAAGCAAAAGACAACACAGACAAGTCTGAAATATTCAATGATATATTGAATAAACAATGAGCAAACTACAATGAATGATAATGCAGATTTCTAGTACAATGCAATTGAGTCACAAATCTAAAATATTGGGTCACAGATATCAAATATTAACTCACCAGAGTCTTGATATTTACAGTAAGAACAGATATACTGATTGAAGGTTGTTTACATTGACAGCAGTTGAATAGGCAAGCACGGTCGGTCTTGAAATGTTGAACAACTTGACGATGGCAGACAGATGTGTATAAATCCAGTCGTGTAAAAATCCCGTGTCGCACTACTCAACAACCAGCTTTTATATAGCTCTTACACAGCTCTCGAGCATTCTAGCAAAGCTATTCTCCATCATTATTCTCTCGGAACGCCATGGAACTACGTGGAAAACACACGACGTGACAAGACCCGGAAGTCAAAACAAAATAAAGCCAGCCAAGGGGGGCAACTCTGAAGCGCTCTCAAAAAGGCGTGCTGCTACAAATCATATTGCCATTGAACATATATTATGCGAGATGCGAGTCAAAACCCACACTCAAAACTTTAAACATTGTGACCCATAATAACTATCACTTAATCAATGTGATATTACAAAAAAGAAAAAAAGAAAAAAAGAACAAAACAAACAAACAAACAAACAAAAAAACACCCCCACACTCTCATAACACATGGAAGCACTGTAATGTTCGCTTTCTAAAGATACTCAATAGTGGCATGTGCTGTGCGAGGCCTTGCTTTATCTTGCATGAACAACTACCGCTGTCGGTCAATGATTGGAACCATGCGAATCCTTCAGATTTTGTCTTTGTGCCGAGTAGCTGTTATATTATCCCCGAAGGCGCACAAAGTTAGATTTCTGCCCGTAGTACGTGGCTCCCCACATCAGAACACTCTCACCACCATATTATCGGTTAACATGTTCGACACAGTTCTGTTTACAACGTTCTTTCCGACGTCGATAAACAAGTACGTTTCCGTCCCGGCACTGAGTAGAAAGCCTGATTCGTCACTAAACCATACACGTCACCAGTTCTCTAGATTCCAGATTCCAGTTATTACACCACTGGACTTGTTGACGTCGATGTAGTCGTCGTAGCACTGGGCCAAAGTAAGGTCTTCTGGCTCGAGGTCCAGCTTCTCGTAAATGATTACGAATGGTTTGCGCCGACACTCTCCTCAAACCAGGCCCTGCATTTGCAGTAGCAGTTACTGTGACAGTTCCTTTCCGCAAATGAAGTACCCGGATGTACCTATCCTGCGCTGCATTGGTAATCCGAGGTTTATAACTTCGAGACAGATCTTGCGTAGAGTTAGGTCGTTGATATCGGTCCCATATACGACTGATGGCACTCTGGTGAACATTGAGGTGACGTGCAATGGCTGATTTAGACTCCCCACCTTCCAGTGACAATGCTTCGATTTACAGAAGCGAATCGCGGCATAACGATATTCTTTCATTTAGCTTTGAAATACCAATGGCCGTCTTGAAGGAAACCAGCCTTATATTGGCAATGTTCGTGCTCACGATTCCTCAAAACTGCACGTGCATATCCACTTTTTTTCCATGACATATTCATGCAAGTTGACCAGGACAAAAGGGTTTAAGTGTGGCGTGAGTGTGTAGGTGTGTGTGCGTGCGCGCGCAACCCCCCACCCCCCATTTTGTCCTGAAAGTTTGTTAAATGACCATAGAAACTCTCGTGAAAATGAAATGCGCACCCCACCCCCCTTTCTCAAAAGTGTGCACCCCCCTTTCTCAATAAACTGTATCCGCCCCTGGTTTAACACGCTTAACACATCATTGTGTATGCCAGTTATTACAACCATAAAATATGGCTGGGAACTGCTGCTATCATAATATTTACAGGTGAACAGTCAACTTGTCTTTGCATATGTTTATAATGGGTGCCTACGTTGGCATGAATTAGCAAGATATATGCGTCACGGAACAAAATGGTATATTCAACTGAATTGAAACTGAAACTTACAATGAAGCACGAAAATTGCAAAGCGGATAGCTCTATCGAATCACGTGATACACAGTGAGCTGAGAGAACAAGAATCGCCTCTTTGTGCATTGGCAGTGTGATCACTTGGTACAGTCGCAGTCCCCTCATCATCGCTTGGTATGTATTCAGTATTGAGACCATTTGTAGACAGAAAGTGTTGAGATCATCACTTGTACATTGGCAGTGTCGATATCATCATTTGTACATAGACACTGTCGGGCTAATCGCTTGATACGTTGGCGAGGCAGTTACCTGAGAATACGGAGGCGGGACCGGCAGTGGAGTCTCTTGAAACAGGTAACTCTATGCTTCGTGTTGATCTGATATAGCATGGAAACATTATTTTCTTGTTCTCCTCTAGGAGAACACTTCACTCACCATTGCATGTGTTTGACCACTGTCGCATATTCGCAAACACCTGGAGTCATCGCTATTTGATAATTGATAAACACATGCTTATAATACAGTCGGAACCCTACATGTTTATCACACAGTCGGAATCGTACATGCTAATGTTACTGTCAGAACCGTACATGCTTATGATACAGTCGGAACCGTACATGTTTATGATACAGTCAGAATGGTACATGCTTATTATACAGTCGGAATGGTACATGCTATGATACAGTCGGAATGGTACATGCTTATGATACAGCTAGGCCATGAGCCAGACAATTTTTTTGGTACAACACTTTGACGTTTTTTGACGTTGTTATGGTCTCAACATATCAAAAAAGTATGATGGCCATGTCGGTTTGGTAGCTCAGAGGGACCAAAAGTTTTAGTGTTTTTTATATTCTTTTATGTCTCTTTATATCACAAATGTATGATGGACATCTCAATTTGGTAGCCCAGGTTCAGAACGAGGCTAAATCCAAGATGGCCGCCCAAAAACCCCAACATTTAAAAAAAAAATGTCAATTCCAAGCTTTAATTGTGAGTGAAGTTTAGCAAATAAATTGGAAATGAAAAAAGGGAGGTACAAATAGTGCTTACTTGATTAAAAGGATCTAATTGATATCAAGTGGAGTTGTCAATGCCTTACCAATGGACTGAAATGCACTATGACATGTCGGAACCAGACTTGTGACAACATGGTATTCGAGGACCATGATATGCCGAAGAGAGACACTGATGATGGAGTTGACGTTTATGATGCGGAACAGTGACTATCACAAACCAATTTAAGGAACATGAAGGTGCTCTCACTATTTGAAGTTAACGAGCTGTCTTAAGAATAAATGAAATGATGAGTTTTCGAAAAAGTTCTTTGAGCTTACAATTTCGACTCTTAAACATCAGGAAAAAATATGATTTAAAGGTATCAATTAAACAAAACTTGATATTAATTGAATACTTTTAATCATGTTAGCACTATTTGTACCTCCTTTTTTACATTTCCAACTTATTTGCTGAACGTTTCTCATGATAAAAGCTTGGAATTGACATGTTTTGAAAATGTTGGGGTTGTTTGGCGGCCATCTTGGATTTAGCCTCGTTCTGAGTCTGGGCTACCAAATTGAGATGTCCATCATACATTTGTGATATATAAAGACATAAAACAATATAAAAAACACTAAAACTTTTGGTCCCTCTGGGTGGTACCAATATGTGAATTTTCAGCTCCTGGCTTAAGTCGGATGGTACATGCTTATGATAGAGTCGGAATGGTACATGCTTATGATACAGTCGGAATGGTACATGCTTATGATACAGTCGGATGGTACATGCTTATGAAACAGTCGGATGGTGCATGCTTATGATACGGTCGGAATGGTACATGGCTGTGATACAGTCGGAATGGTACATGGCTGTGATACAGTCGAGATAGTTAAAAGGTAGTCGCCGCCTATTTAATTCAGTAGTGTCATATGCACGTATTCGATGCCTGTACGTATCCCGTGACACCACTGCGTTTGTATGAATTTTGATTTTGAAAAGAAATCGACATTTCTGTACTGAAAAGTCTACGACAGAAAAAGACCAGTTTCGATTATTCCCGGAACATGTACATAAGTGAAAATCATTAATCTGAAAATGCAATTAACATCAGTACTAAAAAAATGATTCTTTTGAATAATATATTGTGCTGACACCTGAAACATTTTAGCTTTCAACAGAATAAACAATTGTTACAGCTGTTGTCACGACCTATAAATGTTACAATGACCGACGTTCATATAGTGTATTGAAAACATGTGGTAATTGTGTATGTGCTACCTGACACTGAAATTTTCACTTTGTCATTCTTTCTTCCAGGTAACTCCGAAACAGTAGAAAAGAATTAATACACTTTAAGATCGAATTACACCAACGTTATCAAAACGTTCCTAGGCTTTTAAAAGTCGCCGAAACACTGAAACAAACTAAAGGTCCAAAACACGCTTCTGATACCGATATTAAATACATGACCATCGTATAACCATTTCATTTTGTGCCATTCTTCAGCCACAGTCAAACATGGGTGTATAGTTTCTTTTGTCCAGTAGTATAACAGATGGATTCCATTGTTTCTCAACAGTAATTGTGCTTTTTATTAAAATTAAGATGGATGTGCACAGCGCTTGGGGAGATATTACACAGAAAAAAAAAAAAAAAAATTTATGCAAAGTGTAAGCAATGGTTGAATCTGTATTTCTGTAAGTGGCATGTAAACTGCAGTTTCAATGAACAGTTAACGCATGTAATTAAACGTTTATATGTTTTCCATAAGATTTTCAGTTTAGATGTTAAAATTCATAAAGCAAGCGCTGGAATGAAATCAACTTGAGAAAAAAGAAATTCTAATTCATGTCAGTTCTGTATTTCTAACAGAAAAAAGAAGAAAACTAAACATAACGCAATGCATATAATGGAAAGAGTCCTAAGAACCATGCAATGTGGTGTTACAATATGCTTCAACGGTATTATGTATTATATACTTGTACCATTTGAAAAGGGTAAACGAAAATTTAATGCTTATTCGACCATACTCTAAATATACTACCCATCAAAAATTGGGGGAACCAGCTGCAAACCATATGCAGATGAACTGCACGAGGATCAAGCATTAAATTGCTGAAAAACATGTGCAAATATCGTGCATGTGAACAGCTTCGTTTTGGTGTAAAGTTTTGTTAGGAATTCGCCAATTTTATCATTTATTGATCTCATGACAATAATCTTATCAACGTTACAAATTTGTTTTATAACACATCAGTTCGTGTGTAAACAGTACCTTTAAACAGTATGGAATATTTTTCAAAATCAAGTTTAGAACAGTTGACTGAAGTAAGTGGCTACAACCGAATGAGCACAATCTGGATACATTAACTATACACATGTCAACAAGCTATGCTGAATGATGGATATTCCAGCTGTACCAGATTATCATTTGTGTAACTCGGAAATGAGATATTCTTTTTGTCTACTGCCAGGGAACATCTGCATGCTCGTCATCACAAGGACACATTGTCTATCCAAACATGGCGGAGAGTGAAATATGTCTTGATGATGTCCGTCCCAAAGCTTCGCAAGATAATGGAGAAAGAAGTTCCGTACCGACCAGAGAGGAATGGACCAGAAAGAGAGAGTACATATTGTCTCTCCTTGGATACACAGTGGGACTAGGATCTCTGTGGAGATTCCCCCTACCTGTGTAACAGAAATGGTGGTGGTCAGTATAAAAAGTGTAGTCAGACTATATTGTATATTCATGTTGAAGAAAGTATCGCAACTCCTATGATTTTCACAACTACAAAGCCATTTATATTCATTTCATAATTATGTTTGCTTGTATGATTACTGTCACCCTTCTGGGGCACCATGCATTGATCTAAGATGGCGAGTTATTGATGTGTGGAATGCTGGCTATTATGTATATTGCCATCCATCGACTATCGGCCAGAAAACATCAGCAAACTAATGACGTCAAGGACCGTAAGTGTTCAGGCTGACCAAGAGTGACAACTCGGGGAGGATACAACCTTTCTCGGCGAGCTGGCTAAGGCGCCAGATGGGCATCCAGCGAGATTGAGGTGCCGGGATCGAGCCCTCCTGTGACCGGGTGTAAAATCCTTGAGTCAGCTATGTGTGCAGACTCTCTCAGTGTTGTCACAACCCCTAGTGTACAGTACACAACCCCGTGATCTTAAAAGAACCCACGAATCCGTTGGTAAATGACCAGATGGTGGCTTCATGAGTACGTGCAAACAAGTAGTTGCGGGTACAGCAACGTGCAGTAAAACTTGGACAAAGTACTCTGACTATGTGTCCCAGTCCACCCAGCTGTGAATGGTTACCTCGTAAGGATGGTAAAGCCACGTGAACTCGGAGATTGATAATACGGTGTGTTGTTTGAGATTGACATCGGATCAAATGATCGCGGGAAAAACAAAGCGCCTTTGAGCAGCTGAGCAGGATATTGGCGCTATACAAACGTTAGTATAATTATAATATTAAGAAAAAGAATCACAAGACTTCATCTGTTCATTTCAAGTGGCGTGATAAACAGATTAACTTCCATGTCGTCGTTTGTGAACCAGATTTCCTATAATCGGCCGGGAGTAAACCAGCCGACCCATCAAACGTCCGTTGTTATCCCGTTGGTGTCAAGCTGGACGTCACTGTATTTTGAGGTCATTTGAGGTCATGGTCCACTGGTTGGACGAAAGTCGATTTTATTTGTCCTGACTGATGGCAGAGATCTCGTTTGGCGCTGTAGAAACACTGCATAGGCACAACAGTGTATCTGGTTGTCGGGTGTACATTGATGGTGTTGACTTGACCACGTGACTCTCAGACAAAATCTGAATGGACCACGGTCTAAGACATTTCACACAGGGTTGTTGTGCCACATTTCCTCTGACTACAAGACCAGACGTCATGGACGACAATACAAGGCCACATCGTACACGTGCCGTAGTTGATTTCTTACGTCAACTCTACTTTAGCCTATCAAACATCTGATCCGCCATCTACATGGAGATGAAGCAGTATGCCTATCAAGCATCTACTTTAGCCCGCCAATATACAAGTTCCTAATGCCACAGAGCATGTCTGTGACATAAAGAGTCGCATTATTACGCCAGAGAGATCCTCCAGCAGCAAATCCTGATGTATTGGACTGACTGACTGAGTTTGGTTTTACGCCGCTTTTAGCAATATTCCAGCAACATCACGGCGGGGGACACCAGAAATGGGCTTCACACATTGTACCCATGTGGGGAATCGAACCCGGATCTTCGGCGTGACAAGCCAACGCTTTAACCACTAGGCTACCCCACCGCCCCCTGATGTATTGGAACAAACCATCAAGAATGGATCGCAATACCTCACCGTCATGTTTTGACGTCTAATGGTATTGCAATTGGCGGAGGTTGCACCAGATATTGACATTACGCTCGGTCATTGATACTCATGTGATGTCTTGATTGTATGCCGGCATATTGATTGAGTGAGTGAGTTTAGTTTTACGCCGAACTCCGCAATATTCCAGCTATATGGCGGCGGTCTGTAAATAATCGAGTGTGTACTAGATAATCCAGTGATCAACAACATGAGCATCGATCTACGCAACTGGGATACGATGCCATGTGTCAACCAAGTCAGCGAGCCTGACCACCCCATCCCGTTAGTCGCCTCTTATGACAAGCATAGTCGCCTTTTGTGGCAGGCATGGGTTGCTGAAGACCTATTCTACCCCGGATCTTCACGGGTCCCGGCATATTGAAAATGGCCGCACTTGTTGACGTCAAATGACCATAGTTATCGGCATTACAAAATGAATGAACAAATTGGCACGGCTCCAAGCGCCGAAACACGTTTAGCCGACTTGGTTAGACTTTCTGTACTGGCGATTAGGTGCCTGACTCTGAGGGTGTGGGTTCGAATCCCGAATGGGACCCAACCCAATAAAATACTGGAATCTGTGCTACCGAGAAAGTGTAATCCCAAATATAACGTGTTCCATTTGAACACTTTATAAATGGCATTGTGTATTCATATTAAGCAAATGACACACGATCTCATTAATTAAAATCTTTGCGTTTTCCAATTAAAATTAGCCGGTGTTAGATAACAGTGCTAATAAACAACTAGCTAATAATGTAAGGTAAGGATTAAAAATACGTAAAATAAATCCATCTGTTAAATTTTTATTGATCAATTTTCAATGTTCGTTGGAGACAATGTGCCTTCCAAATATTACTTGCAATTAGTTCATTATGAAAGGGCTTGTCTCGCGAAGGTGCAGTTTCTTTGAATGAATGCAAAATTATTCTTTAATTTGTTTATAAACAGTCAACTCTCCGTTCATGTCCAAAAATATCCCCGCTGTTACAAGTGAGTGAGTTAATATTTAACGTCACATCGGCAATATTTCAGCCATATTATGACGACAAAAAGTTATGTACTAAGAATAAACATATGTATACATATTTAAAAACCTGCCAGTGAAGGACAGTATAACGACTAGAATATCACAATTCGATTAAAACTAGTTTGAGTTCAGTGTAAAATGTTAAATCATTTCAAAACATCACAATATAAAATCGGGCTATAGATCGCCAACAACTGAAGGTAGATCACCATACTAGGGAACATGGGGACTTACATTACTTTTGCTACCTGCATGAGCCCTACCTGGATTTACACCATCCCCTCAGCCGCTGGCGATGGAAGGGAATTTAGCCATAATTTAAATAAAAAATGTCTACGTTTAAAAAGCATGGTTGAACTAAATTGACTCAGGAGGACAATAATTTTACGATACTTTAACCCCCTTTGAGGATACAGCCACTAACAATCGCAGTTTGCTAATTTATACTACCGTTGATAATAAAATGACATTTATCTATTTACAAAACATATTGTTCAAAATTTATCTAATAATTCAATTTCTTTTTAAAATGCGATACTTAAATGAGAATGTACATTATAAAAAAATCCTTCATTGTTTTGACACTGAAATATATATCCCTTGTGATGGAAAAATCAATACAGTCAAGCAGGACATGCTTGACTGTGATTCCCTCTTCACAAGGGATGCAAAATGGAGGATCCTCACCTTTAAGTAAATACTCATTTGTGTATCGAGAATGGCCAATACGGCATCGTCGTAGAATGACCTCTTCAAATCTGGACCGACAACCCAAGTAGGTGTAACCGATAGTTGGTTTTATTGCATGTAATTTATTGATACCTACTTGGGTGTCCCACTTCTTCTGCATAAGATCCTTGAGACCGCCTCCGTGGTGTAGTGGTTAGAGCGTCCGCCAGGAGAGCGGAAGGTCGCGGGTTCGATCCCCGACCGCGTCATACCAAAAGACGTTAAAATATGGTACTCACTGGTCCCCGCCTGGCGCTCAGCATTAATGGGTACAACAAGGACTGGTCGGCTCGGAGTCAGTATAATGTGTCTGAGTGGGGTATTCATGCTTCACTGCGGCATGGTATCTCAGTGGGCTAGCACTATAAAACCAGCTTCAGTCTGGGCTAGTACACAGCAGCCGCACAAACACATACACACGCATGCACGTCGTCATATGAGCGAAATATTCTCGAGCACGACGTTAAACCAAATTTCACCTCACCTCACCTTCATCTGCATAAGATCCCAGATGTAACTTCTTATAACTGGTTGATAATCACTGTAAGGTATCAGAAGTGATGTCACAGATTTGTTGAGAGCAGGCCTTTGCAGCAGAATCGGCCACGGTGTTACCAGTGATTCCAACATGGCTGAGTAACCAACAAAAGACGATGTCGTATTGGCCAGTAGCAAGATTATTATGGAGTTCAATTATGTCAAGTAAAACAGGATGCTGACAACGAATTGTTTTTAATTGCTTGAAGACAAGACAGCGAGTCCGAAAAAATAAATACGTCCTTATGTTTAGACTGTTTGATATATCTGAGGGGAGATAAAATGGCCTTTGATTCGGCTGTAAATATGGAAGCGTGATCTGGTAATCTAGTTGATAATGTTTTGGATCCAATGACAGTGGTACAAGCAACTGCGCCACCATCCTTGGATCCATCTGTAAATATAGATTTATATGTATTATATGTACTTCTTAGTTGATTATATTCTTATTTATACTGTAACTGATTTGTTTCTGATTTGGTTTAGTTTGGTTAATGTCAGGTCAACTCTTGGCTGTACCAACTGCCAAGGTGGAGAAGAGAGCAGGCGGAAATGAGATATGTTAGTGAGCACAATATTAGCAGCTAAAATAAAAGGTTGAATTCGTATTCCCAGAGGTGGAATAAGCGATGACTTTTTACCGTAAAGATCTTCATACAGAGGATTAAACACACAATTGTAAGCAGGGTTAGACTTATAAGCATATAACTTGGTTATGTACTGTAAAGAGAGTTTAATTCGGCGTTGTTTTAGGGATGGCTCGTCAGCTTCAACGTAAAGACTGTCAATAGGTGAAGTTCGGAAAGATCCAAGACATAGTCTCAGACCTTGATGGTGAATAGAATCAAGCAGTTTAAGATTACTTTTACAAGCTCCACCAGAGACGATGGAACCATAATCAAGCTTGGAACGGATCAACGATCTATACAAGTGTTGTAGGGTTGACTGATCACCTCCCCACTTAGAGTTAGAGACAACTTTCAAGAGATCCAAAGATTTCAGACATTTTGTTTTAAGATATTTGATATGAGGTAGGAATGCAAGATGATGGTCAAATATGATACGTAAGAATTTAGCTTCCTTAACTACTTTAATGGGAGTACCCGATAGATTTAAGTCTGGGTCTTTATGTGGTTTATACTTACGACAGAAATGGATGCAGTTAGTTTTAGACTTAGAAAACTTAAAGCCATTTTGTTCGGACCAATCATTGATTTTATTGAGACATACTTGCAACTGTCTCTCAATTGTGCACATATTTTTACCTCGACATGAAACATAAAAAAATCATCGACAAATAACGACCCATCAATAGAGTCGTTTAAAACTTTAGATAAGCTGTTGATTTTTATACTAAACAACGTTACCGACAATATGCTGCCTTTTTATTACACCCTGATCTTGATCGTAAAAATCAGACAATGTGGATCCCACTCGAACCTGGAAATGCCTGTTTGCCAAAAAACTGTGATATGAAATTTGGCAAACGGCCTCTCAAACCCATGTTATGAAGATCTGTTAAAATTCCATGTTTCCAGGTGGTATCGTAAGCTTTTTCTAAGGAAAACAATATAGATACTGTGTGTTGTTTATTAATAATACCATTCTTCACAAAAGTTTCCAGTCTAACCAAATGGTCAATGGTACTTCTGCTTTTCCTAAACCCACATTGGATATCGGTAACAGTTCATTTGTTTCTAAGTACCATATTTGTTATTGACCATTCGTTCCATGGTCTTACAAACACAACTAGTAAGCGATATTGGCCTATAGTTTGAAGGATCAGTGTGATCGCGGCCAGGTTATTGGTATAGGAATGACGACAGCATTGCGCCATGATGAATGAAAATTTCCCGTTGTCCAGATGTGATCGAATATATTTAATAAAGTTTCTAAACAGGAATCAGGTAAGTGTTTAAGTAACTGATAATGAATATTATCAGAACCTGTAGCAGTATCATGAGCTTGCCCCAAGGCAGTATGCAGCTCATGAATGGAGAAAACTTCATTATAGTCCTCTCCATTATCTGAAGCAAAATTGAGTTTCTTTTTTTCTGCGTGTTCTTTAGTTTTTTGAAATTTCGGTGTAAAATTTGATGAAGATGAATGTTGAGCTAACGTTTCTCCCAATTTATTTGCTATGTCAGATTTACTGGTTAAGAGTGTGTCACCATCCTTCAGATGATGAACACCAGATCTTGAACCTTTACCTTTTATCCTTTGCACCATATTCCAAACATGGGTGTTCGAGAATTAAGTTTGGACACATAGTCTCGCCAAGACTGCCGTTTGTTTTGTTTGAAGGTACGACGTGCCTTCGCATTAAGTATTTTAAATTTATTCAAGTTATTGACAGTTGGGTGATGGCGAAAATATTTCTCTGCCTTTTTCCTCGCTTTTCTAGCATGTTTACAATCTGAACTAAACCATGGTTTCCGCACATGTGGACTCGTAGAGGACTTTGGTATACAATGATCAGCTATATCATTTAAAGCGTCAGAAAATACCTGAATAGGATCAGCTACATCACTGAAAAAATGAGTTTGTAGTTTTGATTTACACATAGTTTCATACAAGGACCAGTTAGCCTTGGAAAAATTCCATCTTGTGTAAGATGGAGAATCAGCTGGGTTTATTTCTGAAAGGATAGTTGGGAAGTGGTCACTTCCACAAAGGTCATTATGGACTGACCAATCAAATTCATTGAAAAGGTTAAAGTCAGCCAGAGACAAGTCCAAAGAAGAGTAAGTTCCGGTTGCAGGATGGAGGTAAGTGTGTGAATCATCATTATATATACACAGATCATTATCTGAGAGGAAATCTCAGATCGGGTTATGACCATTTAGGTCACCCACAATAACACAGGGTTTCGGAAGTTGATTATAGAGCGATTGGAGATCAGCAAGATAAATTGCTGATGAAGGCGGAATATATAGGGAGCATAATGTAAAAGCCACGTGAAAAGTAATCCGCACTGTAACGGCTTGGAGATTAGTTTAAAGTGTTAAAGGACTATGGATAATATCCTGCTTAACAAGGATTGAAGATCCTCCAGTGGCCATGTCACCCAGAGGAGAAAAATAATGATATCCAATGAACTGACGTAAGTTAAAATTGTCAGTCTGCTTCAGGTAGGTTTCCTGTAAGCAGAAAGCTGATGGTTGTAAATCCTGAATCAACAGCTGTAATTCATTGAAGTTGGTCTTTAGTCCTCTACAATTCCATTGGACAATACGTGAAGAAACTATGTCTTTTGTGGGTTGATTGGGGATCTACCCCTTGACTTTTGTTTGGGTGACAAGCTATGAGTCATGTACTGGATGTTTTCAGAGACATCCATGTCTTCGAGAGATCCAAACTTATTGTAAATTTGGATTTTGTCTTCTGTACCTTTTGAGGCTCTGCCACTATAGTATTTTCTTGAAGATTCGTTTATTGGTTTGTTTTAATGTTTCGATATTTGCTTCCCATTAATTCCAGATGGAAGTTCGGAAGTAGACTGTGATGATGATTGCTCCTGGGAAGATGGCCGAGATTCAACTTCTGCTCTAGCAGTTGTTGTTGATGTTGATACAACGGTTTGCGTTGACTGGTCAGGAGAGTAGACTTCGGGTGCATCAGAGTCAACCCATGTCAAATTAGTTTGGCATTGTGTTGATGAAGTGGACACAGTTGAAGTTACATTTTGATGTGTTCCGGTTCTCGTAACTGAAGCATAGGACTCATTTGGTTCTGGTGTGTGAACAAGTTTTTTGGCATCAACAAAACTAATATTCCTTATGAATTTAATTTTATCAATTTCCATTTGTTGTTTCCAGATTGGACATTCTTTTGAAAAAGATGAATGAGTACCAGAGCAGTTAGTGCATTGTTTAAAGTTGTTATCACAATCTTCAGTAACATGGTTTTTTTTCGCTGCAGTGAGCGCATGAAATAGAATTGGTGCAGTTGTTTACACCATGACCATACTTTTGGCATTTGAAACATCTCAATGGGTTGGGAATATAAATATCAACGTTGAGATGACAATACCCTGCTTTAATTGATTTTGGAGCAGTTGGATAAGAAAAATGGAATTGGTAAGTGTTTGTTGGTTTAGTTTCAGAGTTTTTCCGTGTTGTGAATCGTTTGACAAACGCCACTCCTTGTTCTTTCATTTCAGAGACTATGTCTAATTCACTCATATCTGCAAATAGTTGATCCCGGTCTCTGACGATACCTTTGCTTGTGTTCAAAGTTCTATGTGGAGATACCGAAACCGGTATTCCAACAAACAGCTGAGTTGACATCAAATTTGTTGATTGCTGTTTCCTGCTGCATCCGATGAGCAAAGCGCCTGAGCGCAATCGTTTGATATTGCGGACCTCAACTGCAATACCATGTACACCCTTTGACACTGCAAAAGGGTTTAATTTTTAGATTCTCGAGAACTAAAAATCGTGGCCAGTATTCAATTGAGGTAGACGGTCATCATCACTGTCCAATTGACGTTTGTTTCGTTTTTTTTGTTTTTTGTAGTCCATAGTTAGCGTAGAAGGGTCATCAACCGAGCTCCCCACCCGCCACGGAGTATCATAAAGACAATGCTAAAACCAGTGGATATCCGACTTGCAGCACCTTGTTCTTTACAGGTGCGTTTCTCATTCCTTACTTCATTGGAATTATCACGTGCTCTGTCCCGCTCTTTTTCTTGGAGATCACCATCAGCCAGTTTTCAAGCAGGAGTGCAGGCCACGTGTGGGTCCTCTGTCCTCTGTTTAAAGGTGAGTGCGGCCCAAGTGCTGGTCCTCTGTTTAAAGGCGAGTGCAGCCCAAGTGTGGGTCCTCTGTTTAAAGGTGAGTGCGGTCCAAGTGCTGGTCCTCTGTTTAAATGCGAGTGCAGCCCAAGTGTGGGTCCTCTGTTTAAAGGTGAGTGCAGCCCAAGTGCTGGTCCTCTGTGTAAAGGTGAGTGCGTCCCAAGTGCTGGTCCTCTGTTTAAAGGCGAGTGCAGCCATAGTATGGGTCCTCTGTTTAAAGGTTAGGGCGGCCGAAATGGTGGTCCTCTGTTTAAAGGTGAGTGCAGCCCACGTGTGGGTCCTCAGTCCTCTGTTTCAATGTGAGTGCAGCCCACATGGTGGTCCTCTGTTTCAATGTGAGTACAGAACACACGGTGGTCCTCTGTTTGTGAGTTCAGCACACGTGTGGGTCCTCTGTTCTCTGTCGAATCAGTCCAAGGTATCTGTCATAATAGGAGGTGAGGTCAAATGGGGTTTAACGTCGTACTTAAGGAATATTTCGCTCATATGACGACGTGCATGCTTGTGTATGTGTGGCTGTTTGTACTAGCCCAGACTTTAGTTGGTTTTATAGTGATAGCTCACTGAGATTCCATGCCGCAGTTAAGCATGAATACCCAACTCAGACACATTATACTGACTCCGAGCCGACCAGTCCTTGTTGTACCCTTTAATGCTGAGCGCCAGGCGGGGACCAATTCGGTACCTTATTGTAACGTCTTTTGGTATGACACGGCCGAGGATCGAACCCACGAGCGGAAGCTATTCCCACTACACCACGGAGGTAATGATAGGAAGGCGGTACTAAACAACAAAGAGTCTGATTTTCCTTTGTTGATTACTGCCGCACTCAGCAATATCCCAGCTATATGGTGGCGGTCTGTAAATAATCGAACAGACAATCCAGTGATCGGCAGCATGAGCATCGACCGACGCAATTGGGATACGCTGACATGTGCCAACCAGGTAAGCGAGCCTAACCTTCACATCCCGTTAGTTACAATAAGCATGTGTGTTTGAAGACCAATTCTAACCCGGATACTTACGGGTTTAGTTTACAGATAATGAGCTTATTAGACGTATCTTATGATGCAGATAGTGATAACCATGTTTTGTTCCAGGTATCGGTATCTCGCAGGTAATGGCCTCATCGTTCGGGAGCGTTCTGTACAATGTCATAATTTGTTGGTCCATATATTACATCTACAAGTCGTTCTCGTCAGTGTTGCCTTGGACAACGTGTGACAACTGGTGGAACACTCCCCTGTGTGTTAATAAACTTGGGAACGTTTCATCCATCAGCGTGAGCCAGGCCAACAGCACACATCTAGATGATGAACGCCTTCTGTACTCATCATGGAGAAAGGCAAATGTAACATTGACAGCGTCAGAAGAATTTTGGCAGTAAGGGAAAGATTGTAGCATGCATGTAAATGGTTTATTACCAAGATACCAAATAAAGAATATATCTGGCATAAGGACAGTTTTCTCTTTGACTTTGTCACCTGGTGCTCTGGTGATATTCAGTAATATATTTAAATAAGTTGTCCACTGTTTTGCCTTTTAGTACTGGTATAACTATTTCGGAAAATAATCACGGTTCATGGATATTCTATATTTTACATCCAACAACGTAACTAAAGTTCATTCGAACATGAACATGTGCATGCGCGCACACACACACGCACACACACATATACACACTGTAAATGAGCTTCATACAATCGTTATTTATTGTGAGGGACATTTATTGTGGCAGATACGGCACACTAAGAGTGTCCAGTGGAATCGACAAGTTCGGGTCAGTGCAGGGTGATCTCCTTCTGTGTAACCTTGCTTCCTGGGTAGTAGTGTTCTTCTGTCTCATGAAAGGCGTCAAGTCTGTGGGAAAGGTAAGAAGCTTCATTCGCAAAGACACCAACAGTTCTGATGTCATCATCCGATCTTACCATGAGGACTGATATACTTGTAACTGTAACCAATTGGGACTCTTGGATAGAACTGTTTCCAGTAGGGTATCAATCATGTCATGCCTTTAACGGGCATTTGAAGATGTTTACAATCTCCGAAAAGAGAAGCTAAACGTTTCAGGACCCATTTGGATCCCAAGCACATAGTTTGCAGGCATTTCCAGTGAAAGCATGGCTCTTTGGGTTAAAAAGCAAAATAATGGTTAACAACATGCTTGGGAACTAATATAATGGTCGACTCGTGCTTATCGTAACGCAATTTTCGACTGGAAAGCATTGATTGTTCAGAATGGTTTCCATATCACGTGTCACCAATCCGCCAATCACCATTGCCATCTACTCTTGCTTTCGGTCATTGATTTGACTGATCGATTATTTACGGGGGGACACGATTTAAATGATAGACCTGTTGGACTGCGCCACAAAACAACATTCGTTCACTCGTTATGTCCGTAGATTTATTAGTGGTATGTTGTAATATTAGGTTTGAGAGCTTGTCCTCACTTGACATTTCCTGTCTATATTGGCAGGTGGTGTATGTGACTGCATTGATCCCGTACATCCTGCTGACGGTGCTGCTGATAAGGTCGTGCATGATGCCGGGAGCAGGAGAAGGGATTGTGTACTTCCTACGTCCTGACTTCTCACGACTAGCCTCCGTTCAGGTACAGAGAGAGGGAGGGTGTGGGTGTGGGGGGTGGAGGGGGATGGAGAGGGAGAGAGAGAACTATCATACCAGGTGTCACGGCTCTAACAATAACAATAAGTATAATGTGTAATCATTACTGTATAGGGAGAGAGAGAAATACATACTAGTATTATACCAGGTGCTTCAGCACTAATCATGACAATTAGGACAATTATCATCACCATATATATAGAGAGGGAGAGATGATGATCTGAGAATTTGAGAGTCCTACAGACTGAATATATATTATTTCTATATTTATCAAGACAGCATTATTAACCTTGCATTGTATAGGTGTGGTTGGAAGCATTGCTGCAAGGTTTCTATTCAACGAGCGTGACGTACGGCGGACTCATCACCATGAGCAGCTACAACAACTTCAACAACAGACTCCTGAAGTAAATAGTAATACTTAACCTCTCAAATTGTTTCCGATGATAGTTATGACAAGTTTAGGTTCATGCATTGTATATTAAACTGAAGTTTTGCCACGAATTGCACTGGTCTGCTATCTTACCACCCTTCTTATAATTGCGGGGCGGTGGGGTAGCCTAGTGGTTAAAGCGTTCGCTCGTCACGCCGAAGACCCGGGTTCGATTCCCCACATGGGTAAAATATGTGAAACCCATTTCTGGTGTCCCCCGCTGTGATATTGCTGGAATATTGCTAAAAGCGGCGTAAAACCATACTCACTCACTCACTCTTATAATTGCATTTGGCGATTCAGAATCAGGCTGAAGTGATCGAAGTTCCAACCAAAAAAATTCCAATAATGACGAGGATGCAGATTTATTGATCGATATCAGAAAATACGAAAAGAAATTCCTGATCATTCTCCGTTGTACGTCTCCGACTGTATGACTTTATTATGATTCACTATCAAATAGTGATGATGACAGGTGTTTGCAAATGGGTGGGCGTATCCTGCCCATGCTTCAAAAACACATGACCAAGCCTGTCACTTGCCCACCTAAAAGTCAGTGATGGAATTGACCTCCTCCTGTCTAACATAACAAGTTTTACTGAGGTTTTGAACGCTCTCACGTATGTTTAATTTAATGATGTACTCTATACATGAACACGTGTCAAAAACGCTAACAATTATCTGTTTAAAGCCATAATCTTAATAATCCTGGACCTGGTAACGATACATGCATTTTAATGTTAATACGTGTTGAGATGAGAAATTTGACTCCGAGGTCCATCCATGGTACGACCCTGAACATGTCCAGAGCGTCAAGGAAAATGACGCTTTAAACTTCTTTCGAATAGATCCATATATAGCCTAAGAAGAATAGGCTGATGTTGTTATTTTTTATAAAGCCAATGAATTCATTTCTATCATTGAATTTTCTGTCCCTTTTGACAGCAGTGTGATTGGCAACATTCAGGAAAAGCATGCTAAATATGCGGACCTCGCCTTTGAAATGTCTCTGCTGCATCCCAAATACACTGTTGTCAGATTCCCCAGTGTTGTCGGTGCCCTTGGTTGGGTACCTCCTGATCTCTTGGTGCAGATCAGGAGAGTGTCCGGGTTCTCAACCGGGAGCACAGCCCTTCTGACACTCTGGGTAATGCAGAAGGCTGCAGTGTTGGGAGTCTACATATTCTCCGCTGGGTTCGACTAGGCAGCGTTTCCTGGGAGAAGTCCCATTCGCTGTCAGGGCTGTGTGTAGAGGGGGCTGGGGCCCTTAGCTGATGATAAGCCTTACCAGCCTGACTGTGCCAGGATCACCCACACCCTCGCTGCTGCATTTTATCTTAATCTGTAAATTTAAACATAACAAAAATGATAAGGTTCAAGTTTATATGGAGCTTCGAATCCAAACGTTGCTCAAAGACGCAGGATCTTCATGCTGGAATGTCTGAAAGAGAAGCGACAAAAACCTTTCCACATTCATCAGAAATCTCTGCTTAAAGCAGAGTCAATTGTACAATAGTGACTATATCATGAATATATATTTGTTTCAGCAGTATTGCAGCTGGATGATGCTGTTTGAGACAAATCGACTCTGGGCCAGACAATCCAGTGATTGTCACCATGCGATACAAAAGTCAGCTGTATGTGATCTGGAAGTTCATTCCAGAGGACTTGACCTTTATTAGCAAAACCCTTGTTAATATAGGATGGCGTTTGAGTTTTGGGCATAGTTACTTGATGTTTTGTATATTTCAGAGATGTGGTGATAGTTACTGTCGTTGGTCAAGCAAGTAGTCTCTTCTGTGGCCTCGTGGTCTTCTCCACTTTGGGCTTCATGGCACACCAGGCGCAGATACCGATATCAGAGGTTGTATCATCCGGTAAATCTATTTGTTCCTAATTGGCCTATCCTCAGACAATTTCCTTTGCGTGAGTGATTGAGTTTAGTTTCCAAAATATCAGCAATTACACCAGAAATGGGCTTCACACATTGTACCTATGTGACAGTTTCTTTGACATATGTGTACCAATGTATATAAATGTGCATAAACCATTTGATGAAAGTTACATCATAATAGTCAGAAATACTCGTTTTGTATGGTTTCACCGATGTAGCTGAAGTCGAAGACATGTTGCTTAATACCGAGCTGCCTGGTAATATAACTGTAGTAATGCTCAAAATGACGTAAAAATAGATTCACTCACACTGAGGGTGCAGCGCTAGGGTAGTAGTGTTAGCGTTTGCACGTTACGCCAAAGGCTCGAGGTCGATTTTTCTCATGGATATAATGTGTGAACCCATGTCTTGTGTTCCATGGGATGGCTTAGTGGTTAAAGCGTTATGGTGAAACCCGGTTCGATTCCACATATGGGTACAACGCGTGAACATTGCCAAATCTATACTCACTCTCTGTGGTCCATATCTTGATATTGCCAACAGTGTGAACCTTAGCTCACACTCACTACTGCTTACAACTATAACACCTGTTGGTTGCAGGTTCTGGTCTGGGGTTCATCATCTATCCAGAGGCCATCGCCCAGCTTCCTGTGCCCCAGTTGTGGGCAGTCCTGTTCTTCCTGATGCTCTTTGCGATGGGAATAGACTCTATGGTAGACAATATTTATAATTATCAGATATCTGTAGGTTTGTCTTAATGACGATTCTTCGGTTAAAGAGCGGGAAGGTAACACCATGGTAAAGCTATAGGTATTCATTCTCAAAATGGTCCAGCTGCCTGTGCTTGCTGTAAGAGTCGATTAACAGGGCCGGGAGGTCAGACACGCTGAATTGGGTGATACATGCCAGAAACTACGCGTTACGTAAACACCAACTGCTAAAGGTGTGTGTGTGTGTGTGTGTGTGTTTGATTCCCCAATGGGTAAGATTGTGTGTAGCCCTTTCTGGTGTCTCTTGCTGTGATATCGCTATAACATTGCTAAAAGCAGCGACCATACTCACTCGATCATACTCAATGTATCGGCTGGCCAGCCTCGGTGACTTGGCATCGCATCGTCTGATATACGTAACTTGAATACTTACAGGCCTGCGTGGCATGAGAGAATACAGCTGATATCTAATTCAGTGACGTATCTAGACGTGATCATTGTTTCATCATAATTTGAATGTCCTTAAGCAACTTATCTAGACGTGATCATTTTTGCGCCATATTTTGAATGTCCTCAACCAAAGGATCACAACATGATCAGTGTTGAGTGTCCACATCCAAAGGATCAAGATCTGATCATTGTTGCATCATACATTGAATGTCCTCAAGCAACTGATCTAGACGTGATCATTTTTGCGTCTTATTTGGAATGTCCTCAAGCAACTTAACTAGACGTGATCATTGTTTCGTGATATTTTTAATGTCTTCATGCAACTTATCTAGACGTGATCATCGTTGCGTCATATTTTGAATGTCCTCAACCAACGGATCTAGAGTATACGGGATCCAGTGTGAGAAAACTAGCGTGTGATCACCCAAATGAATGCTAAGATTACATTGCAGAAGCACCATATCTAGTATTCAACACACTGCTCGAATATTTAACTAAACGATAATAGATTAACCCACCGAAACGTCCCTCATATTGATAATAAGGACTTTGTAAATCATCAAGACGTGACGTTTGTATATCCATAGAACTCTCTTCGTTGTTCAGAAATGGTTTCACACAACTCTCTTAACCCTTCAATAAAAGAAATCAAAACGATATTCCACTATATTACTACTTTGTGAAACCGATAAGTTCCCTTTTTACTTTCCTAGTTTGGCTTAACGGAAACGACCGTAGCTGGAATAACAGATTCGTGGCCTCAGTATCTTCAAGGACGGAGAATGTGGGTCACGGCTCGGGGTGTGTCTAGCCAGCTTTCTTGTGTCCATTCCCTTTGTAACTGAGGTGTGTATTTTAATATGAGTGAGAGAGTTAAGATCTGAAGTCACATCGGCAGTATTTCAGCCATATTTAATTGAGGTCTGATCACATCACAAATCTGATCTTCCCTTCAAAGTATAATCCTGGTGAAACTGGTAAATAGCCCGAACGTTTTCGGGTAAAAGATAATCTAAACTGGTTTTTAGGTTTATTCATCGATAAAAGAACAACTAGCAATGCAAGTGGTTTTTAACCAAGATAACATTTTCCAACACGCTACCTTTACTACCAGCTGATTGATTGCTTGGTTGGTTGGTTGGTTAGTCGGTCGGTTGGTTGGTTGGGTGGTTGGTTAGTCGATTGATTGATTGATTAGTTGATTGATTGAGATTGATTGAGATTGATTGTGATTGATTGATTGATTGATTGATAAAGAATCGTCTTGGTTCTGGAAAGAAGGCTGTTAACATGATCATATTCGCCATGATGTTTGCAGGTCTGATTTTTAATATGGAAAACGTTACAAGTGAAGAAAATCATTGTTGATCAAACATGAACATGTCAGTTAACATCTTGTTACATATCCAGCACTGATGTTATCTTCGATACAGGGTGGGATCTACCTCTTCCAGCTGTTAGACTGGTATGCCTCCTCCTTTAGTGTTCTTCTCATTGGCTGTCTCGAGTGTGTCGTCATCAACTGGATATATGGTGAGTGTGTGAGGCTTTATGTCTCTTTAAGCAACATTCAAGGAGGACTCACAGCAGGAGACACCAGAAATGGACTTCATACAATGTACCTGTGTATGGAATCAAAACTCAGACCTCCGACGTTACGAGCGAACACTGTTACCCCTTGGCTATCTCACTGTCACTGGTTCTATAGTAAACCCACGTGGCAAGACATAGCAAATGTCCTTATTACTATTTTATGCAAACAATGCAGGTGGCGTTTGCTTTCGGTGGAGCAGAACATGCTTACTCTTTTGGTGAACACCTGGTGTCATCACCGACTGACAGTGATCCATTTATATAACTTTCACCACTACACTACTGTCTAGCGTTCATGTTATAGAGTTTATATATTGACAGAGTATGGTGTGTACACTTCCTGTTTCAATTATGAACAAGAACGGATGAACTGGCCCTTTTGGTCATACTAAGCAAATCAGAATATTATGATGACGGGCTTGGAACAGATTCGGGCTGAAGATTTTAAAGAAATCTACGCTGAACTGGCAGGTGTCACTCCAGTTAAACGTAAACGCCTTCGTTTTTGGCATGGCTGAGGACCTAGAAACTCTCAGGAGTCAAGCTGCCGAACACGGTCACCCATTAAAAGACTCCCCGCGCCCAACGTTGCTTAGCTTCAACTAGCTTGTGACCGGATCTGTATGCACAGGACCACACACCACCACATTTCCTGGTTTTCCTAAACAGCACACTTCTACACCATGACATGTACACTGTCTAGAGGGACGTTAACGTCATTCCACTCATTCATTTTGATGACATGTTTATAGTAGGTGTTAACGGGTTTCACCAACACACCTAACGTCGATTTTATGTTTTTAAGGTTCAAGGAGACTCAGCAACGATATTGAGATGATGACGGGAAGGCGATTTCCGCTGTTACTCAAGATCATGTCAACCTACTTGACGCCTTTCATTCTCTTCGTGAGTTCACACCAAAAGGTTTATCAGATAGAAACAAAGTCTTGATGTTACTCCTATTCGTTGTTACAGCGACTGGGAGACTAGATGGGGTGTGTCTGATAAAATCTCACAAACATTGCAATAAACTGATGGTGTGTGTTTTGGTTGGGGCCTGGGGAATTGGTCATCAGCAACCCATGTTTGTTGTGTGAAGCGACAAACGGGATTCGGTGGTCACACGACATGTTGCTGTTACAACTGCTAATCATGCCAGTCAGTCTGATCTACTCCGTCCTAATCCTGAATTTTGTTTCTGATGGCAACAGGAAGTAAATAAATCAGCAATAGTTGACATAGAAACAAAACTAACCCGGACTAACCTAACTAACTAACTTACCTGCCAAAATTATTATAACTCACAGAAATGTGTTTGAATTCGGACATTCCTATGTAAGAATATATTCACTGAGACAGTGAGACACTTTGTGACCATGCGATGGTAATATTTGTTTCCAGGCCTCCCTGACATGTTCCCTGTTTCTATACGACCCACCAAGCTATGGCGAGTACATCTACCCTGAATCTGCCAAAGTGATTGGTATAATGGTTGCTGTGGTGATGACTCTGCCCATACCCGTCACATTGGTGTACCAAGTTGTAAAGGGGAAGGGGAGCTGTTTCGAGGTACGTTTGTTCGCATAGTAGTTGTAACGTGTTCGGGATATACTGTAATAAAGCAATTAACGAGACGGAAAATATCTCATGAAATTAAAGAGTTGCAAAATCAGTTCAGACTTATTAACGTTAGAATCCCTATTTAATTGTGAAAACAACAATATCTAATTAATTGGCCAATAAATGTGATGCATTAGGATGAAGCAGAATTATGCCCGTTTGTCATTAACGCCAAAACCCAGCTCATATCAGACTCGCATATATGCCCTATCAATGGTCCAGAACAGATCAACATTTTCCCATTCTTTGCAGCGTCTGAGATTTGCAAGCAGACCTTCACCCGAGTGGAGACCATTAGGAGCCAATGACATGAAGCTGTACACAGAAGGTCATCTGCAGAGCATTCCCCTGCAGCTGGGACAAAAAGATCGCCATTATGATTAACTGCAATGTTGTTTTGGATGAACGAATGTAATTAAAAAAGATAACTTGGAAAGATAACTTGCTTATCATATGTGCATCAAATATCCACATGTGTCTATGTACACATGCTCAAATTTATTAATGTAGAGGACGTATAAAGTGTCGATCCAAAGAAATATCCACCTAGTGTTGACCATAAAAATGCTACTAAGCTGAAATGACGGTAATAACTATTTTAAATATTCATTTACTGTCGTCTGTATGTTAGATCACAATTATTGTCCACAACGTGTTCAACCAAACCTGTTCTGAAAGGTATGCATATTGCAAAACAAATTTGATCTGCCTATAAATGATGAGGGAATTTTAAGAATGATTCGCTCTTATCAAACTGTGTACACATTTATTAACATGATTCGGTTATATGATGTTAATTTCCATCTTTAAAGTGGCCTTACGTCGCCCCTTGTCAATGTTATTCAAGATCATGTTATTATGTGAGAATGGCCGGAAGCCCCTTCAATGAATAAACATTCTCTCCATACTACTTGTTTTACTAAAAAGGACATCAAAACACTGGATAATTCAGATTATACACTGAATCTGTACAACACTAGTCATTGAAGTCAGACAACCTGCCGTGGACATCTGGAGCTCAGAGCTAAATGCTCGAAACAGGGTCATATACGTTTGCTGCACCAGTCCTTCCCTATTCCTTTGGAGTAGGCTGATTGGACAAAACAAGACATACAGGGCTTGACCGCCTGATAGTAGACTCCACCACCCTCATTCCTCTCTTAATCGTTCATATAAGGCAATCAATTCTGGGAGTCGGGGTTTGATTAATGTGGAGGCTCTTCATGATAGTTCTGTACTTTTGCACAAATATATTTATCGGATGATCCTCTGGTGATGCATGTCAAGACTCATGACGAAAGCAAGAAATTCCACAGTATTTCAAGCGTGCCAAAGTTGTTGAACAGAAGCTGAAATTTGAGGTTGATTTAGTTGATGGTGATGTACTGCTGGACCGTACAGCAATGGGCGTAAACCAGGTGAAGTCCTTCACCAAGTCTGATCAGAGTCGGTCATTTGTGGAGAAGCTTTCTGCGAAAACACTGCATCGTGTGTACATGATGTATGTAGAACAGAACAGTAAGCCAACCGACTCCTTCGCCTGGAGGAAGTCGGCTGGTCCTAAATGTGAAACAGAAGGCTTCCTTTTCGCTGTCCAAGACCAGTCACTTCCCACTCGCAATCGGCAAATTGTGATTCTTAAAGAACATATTTGCATGAAATGTCGATTGTGCAATGGATTTAGCAGAGACTGTCAATGGATGCCCTTCCCTGGCACAAACAGCATATCTTAAAAGACATGATGGTATGACTCGTTGTTTCTACTATCGTCTTCGCCATGTCTGTGGCTTTGATTCTGAGGTCCAACCATGGTATGACCCTGAACATGTCCAGGGCGTCATGGAAAATGACAGCTTTAAACTTCTTTGGAATAGTTCCCATATATAGCCTCAGAAGAATTCCAACCAACAAACCTGATCTTGGCCCATATACAGCCTACAAACCTGATCTTGACCATTTTGATAAACCAATGAATTTATTTATATCATTGAATTTTCTGTCCCTTTTGACAACAACGTGATTGGCAAGATTCGGGAAAAGCATGCTTAATATGCGGACCTCGTCTTTGAAATGTCTCGCTAGCATCCTAAGGACACTGTCGTGAGGCTCGCCATCATTCTTTGTGCCCTTGGTTTGGCATCTCCTGATCTCTTGGCGCAGATGAGGAGGGTGTCCGGGTTCTCCACCGGGAGCACAGCCCTTCTGACACTCTGGGTAGTGCAAAAGGCTGCAGCGTTGTTGAGGCTACATTGTCTCAGGAATGTTCTTGGTGGGTTCGATTCGGCAGTGCTTCCTGGGAGAAGTTCCATTCGCTGTCTGGTCTGGGCCCTGAGCTAATGATGAACCTTACCAGCCTGACTGTTTTAGAACCCTCTCTGCTGCATTTCCATCAATCTGTAAAACATAATAATAATAGTTCTTTTCTAGTGATGACAGCTCTCGTGTTACATGACGAGACCCCCGTTGTTAAGGGATCTTTGAATCAGCATTGTCATGGCCGCAGATATAAGATTTCCAAAACATCCTCGGGCAAGCCATATAGGTAGAGGATCCAGGACACAACACCCAGCAGGTGCTTTCTTGATACTTTCAGTCACTTCTGTAACTTCGACTTTGGTAAATGGAAAAAGCATGAGTATACAGGTGGTAGGACAATAGGCCCACAAGGACATAACACCCTCAGACAAAACACCCCTAGGCTAAATGCCCCCATGACAAAAAGCCCTCAATGGGTAGGACAAAAGGTTCTCAATGAAGAGATGTAATAGAATACCAACAAATCTTTTTTTCATTCCCACATGAATACAATATAATATAACATTAAATAGCATATGTAATAGCACATACTTCACAAATGTAAATCAGTCTAATATTGTGTCCTATACCAGTCAAAAGCGAATGCTGTGAACACCGTCACCAATAGCCGGCCGCTGGATTCCAAACTTTAAAGAAGGTAGCAGGAAATCAGCATCAGACCATCTTAATAAACACTATGTTCATTGACATACCACAATGAGTACCTGCCCAACGAAATCAAACATAAGAGGAAGTGACCAATTTAAGCCAGTTCTCTGAAACAACATTTAGCAGACTTCATTCCATTGTTACAATAGCAACATCGTCACCGAGGAGCCTGTAACAACTATCAGCAGTGGGAGGAATTGCTTAGAAAACATCATGTTATCACCTGTCAACTCAAAATATACACAGAGGGTGTTTTATCCTATGGGTAGAAATTTGCAAGGGCTTTTTGTCCTGGGGGCATTTAGCCTAGGGGTTTTTTGTCCGAGGGCTTTTTATCCCAGTGGGCTTATTGTCTGCCCACCGAGTAGGACTGATCTGATGTGGAAAGGGATTCAAGTCGAAGTCGCGTAACTTTAGCTGTAAAGAAGTCTGCTAAGGAATTTGCCTGGTTCTCTGATAGCTTCGTGGATTGTTCCTTGATTACAGTTCATGGTTTCGTAAGTTGGTTGGTGATAGCAATGATTTGTCTTGGATTGATCCTGTTTTCAGAAATTTACTGCTTGATATTGTTGATCTTGGCCCACTGGGTGAGGATGTTGGCTTAGCATGGTCAAGTCGACGTGGCCAATATTGTGGACTCCTCTTCTCGTCAAACTGCTTGGAAATCAAGGAACAGAATTGTTTATAACTGTATAAATTAGCATGATTATGTTACTGTAATATCTAAAGGTTAATTGTATGTTTTCTATATGGTCAGTAAGTATAATCAGAAGCTTCTATTGGTACTCAAAATGTCAACTAACTAAAATTAACCAAATCAAGGAAACAAAACAAAAGCAATATTGGACTGAAGCAAAGTTTAAACAAAATATAGATGAAATCGTAATTGTTGAGGTCTCGATGATTCGAATAGCCTTCTTAGACCTTTCGGGGATTAAACATTGTAGTCACTGGGGGTAAGTTCACTGAAACTTTAAAAAGAAATTGCGATAAATCAAATTTCCCAGATACATTTAGTCATTTTGTGGAAAAGAAAAAATATAACATTCGTAGAAGGTATTCGAGGGTCCAGGTGAAAGTACTGAAATCACACGTTGTGTCCCAAAACTAAAATATAAACCCCAAATTATGAAGTAACCCCTAAGTATGTTGACCGCTTTCAGAATTATGTTCCAGTTCAGTTTGTGTTTGATGATACGTATAATCACGATATTCCTTAAAGAAATTATTGCAAGTGCAGTTTGTGCACGTTCCATGTGTTAGTATTTAATCTGCATTAATGACAATGTTCAGTCATCATTCTGCCACTCTGGTACGAAGATTATCAGATGGCTGGAGGTGGCAAATTATTGGTATGCATAACTCTGTTATGTCCCTTGAAGCGATTGGTCGTGGATGAATGTCCACTACACAGTTGTCAGTCGTTTGGTCAGCAAATACAATGAGCTTGAGGTGTGTCCATGTTCTGGACGGTTTAGGGTGACTACTGAGGTTCACTCGTCGACAACCTTTCACCACCAGCACTGTTTAGAAGCACCACTGGCAACCATTTCAGCGGGTTTCTCCGAGAACAGTCCTGAATCGCCTACAAAGAGCCGGGTAAACAAATGGTCTCTAAAAACTGCAAACTTTATAAATTTGACGAATGACCAGCATATCCAGGAAGTGCTGGATGCAATTGTTGTCCGCCCTTTTTGATAATCATCCTCTTGCTTAAAATTAGTTCGTTTGGCTCAAAAGCGGACCGATGTATTGCAATCTAACTCGAAAACTAATAAACATATAATACTCAATGAAACGCTGATCATAATCAAAACATCAGACCAACTCTGTTATTTGTTTGCAGAATTTATGTTCTAAAATTAAAAAAGTTGTTTAACAAACTATCATGTAAATGTTGACACAGTTCACCATTTGTTACGAGGGAGGAGTGCAGAGAAAGGGACAGCCAGGTGTTAGAGAAGCACGTACACAAGTGCCGACAACGTTATTGATTCATTAACTTGTGCTGGGCAGTCTCCATCCTTTCTCGCACACCTGGCTGTCCCTTTCTCTGCACTCGTCCCTCGTAACAAATAGTGAATTGTGTCAATATTTTAATGATCGTTTGTTAAAACAACTTTTTTATTTTTAGGACATAAATTCTGCAAAAACCTCACGGAGTTGGTCTGAGGTTTTGATTATGATCAGTGTTTCATTGAGTATTTTATGTTTATTAGTTATCGAGTTAGATTGCAATTCATCGGTCCGCTTTTGAGCCAAACTGACTATACAACACCTGTATTTATGGACGACACCGCTGGGCCACGCCATTCTCGTGCAGTCCCATCTTTCATTCAGAATAATACAGTGACTCACCTTCCGTGGTCCGCCATGAGTCCAGACCTGGACCTAAAAAGGCGGATTGTAAATGGACCTCAGTCTATTATTTATTATTTTTTAGTAATTATCATTTGAACTATTCATTTTTATCTTGGAGACTTTCGCAAGTCTAGTCTACATACAACAATATTTATTGCAATATATGATATTTAAATATAAAACACAATTTTTGGCAAGGCTCAAAATGTTCTTTCGGAAAAGGTGTGGTCGTTAGTAACTCTTGAGTCATTTACTTACCATATGTCCAGAAAAGGCGTTACTCCTCACATAAAGAAATCTCAAGCATTTTTTCGAAATGTGTCTTTAGTCCGTTTGAATAGTTTATAAATCTGTGTTGTGTAGTCTGGGAGATGTCATGCCATATGTGAGATGAGGTGAAGTGGATTTTTTCACGGCCAACAGGGTGCAGTTACTTACAGTAAGTGAGTGAGTTTAGTTTTACACCACTTATAGCAATATTCCAGTAATATCACAGCGGGTGACGCCAGAAACGGGCTTCACACATTGTACACATGTGGGGAATCGAACCCGCTTCTTCGGCGTGACGAGTGAAGCAGTTAC